CCTCTAGTTGCGCGGCCGGCCGCCCGGTGAGTTGGGTTGAGCTGCTCTGATAGTGTCACTGCATTCCGGAGAGGTCTTGAGGCTTGGGCAAATTGTCCTTCTCGGGCCCCTTAACCTCGCACCAAACATGCTGTTTTCGACGAAGTGTTCGATAGCTACCGCAAAGGCGGGGAGGAAGGTATATCGTCGACTTCCGGAAAAAAGGCACCTACTGAATTGCAGACTGGCCGTGCAACATCTTGGGTGCGACTTTAAGGGGCCCGAGCTTATAGCAGATAATCACTTCAATGTCCGTCGGCAACTTCAATAGTAGCTTAACAAGGCACTGCGACTTCCAGCAATCTCAAGTCATGGTGCTTAGTTTCAAGGAACGTTCCTTCTCGGTTTGTCAGGTCATCCCTTTCAGTCTGACGCCTCCCTGAGACTGCCGGCGCGCAGCTGCAGCCAGCCAAGGCCGGGATTGTGGTGCCAAGCCGGATATGGAGGCGCTATCTTATAACCGAGCCCGTATCCTGAAGCGGGCTCTTATATACGCCTATAAAGGCAGCATAGAGACTGTGCTTTGTGTGCACAGAGTACATATTACGAGGCGCCCTGGCATTCGGCGTTGACACCGGCAACCTGAGTGCGTTGCGAGTTTCCCGCCGATGTGTGGCTCCCATAGATAAGCTTGCATAGAGAATCCTGATATCTTTTGTGTTGCAAGTCCTGCTGGTCGGGTCTCGGTCAATAGGCAGTCGGCCAGTGTGTTTTATAAGTGTTTGATAAGGCCCCAGCCCGCTGGCTGCTTAAGTGTAAGTCCTTGGTTGAGATTGAGTCGTTTGCTATAAGCCCGGATTACACTAAGGTAACAGTTCAACAGGGTTTTTGGGTCGACAGGGTCCCGACTTGTCTCTGGCGGGCTCTTACAGAAGACGTTTTTGGCGAGATCGATCGACGACATTTCCAGATGATGAAACACAAGCGACTGACTCGGCCCTCGGCCGGAAAAGGAATAGAGGTACTGTATACAATAGACCAACTAAAAAGAGACAGTATAATACCTTGTTGCTAGAGGAATCGCTCGTCTTGCTAGAGCAGCTTTGGCAACGCGTTGGCACAAATAGCCGCGATCTGAACCACATAATACGTACAGAATACAGCGGTGCTCACGTACGTACATGCATGGGGCTCATGGGCTTTACTCACAATGGCCAGTATATGTACTTATAAATAGCTATAATCGTGGCGCAGCTAGTTAGCTCGTTGAAGTGTGGGTCAATTCCACTACTGATATGTGCCAGTCATCACAAATCCAGATGATCTAAGAATCACGCATGTTCGCTCTGAGTACGTCCGCGTCCTTAGAGCACCGAACTGGTGAAGGGGCCGGCCCTACTTATATCTCTGAATCTTATTCCTTCACGGTCCGACGATGGTGCCAGTGAGTTGGATTGACTGTAATCATTTGCAGCTAGCTATAGCTGTGAATTGAGTGCCATGCATGTACGTATATCGTATACATTTGCCTAATTGCCAATCACGGATTTTAGCGCAATACAATGCTTACCAAAAGGGCGTCGCCAACTATATTAGGCAAGCAAAACTAAACGTTGCAACAATTCGATCAGATGTATCTACCGTCATTCAGCAACCGTGGCATGGGTCTCCTTGACCAGCCACAGACGAATTACATAGAGCATATCTTGGCTAGCAACCTAGCTTAGAGAACGACTTGCGTGCAGAATGTGAGTGACAATATATCTTGGACCCTGAAGAGCGCTTCTGCTACAGGGCTGTCCGTTTCCTTGCGGAGTTCATGTACGGCCGGATGACCCACTCATCCTCCGCCTCTGACTGATCCATCGTGCCTAGCTTTACTTGATACAGCCGGAGCTCAAACCTTGGTCCTACTTCCTTAAGCTCCACGGACTTGGCACCTTTCGGCTTTTCGTATATGTGGTGCCTGCAAGTATCACTTTTCAAAAATAAGCAGGAAACTCAACCGAAAGATGGTAGACTAGACACCAAAGTAGGAAGCAGAAAGGAAAGCTAGGAGCCTCATTGTAATTGATGCCGAAGCCCGCAAAGCCCGCAGAATCAAGTGTCGTGCAGCACGTGCCAGCAACCAACAGCAGTTCGAACACAGGGGAAGCGATTGTATGGAATGAGCCGCAAATTCTTACCTGAAGGAGATGTAGTCGCTCTGATTGGCAAAGGTGATTATCCGTTTTGACTCATCCTTGGGGACGGGGAAGAGGAACTTGAGGATGTTCTGGGTTCGCAGTCCGAGCTGCAAAGGAAAGGGAACCATTTATCCTCCAGATCAAATGAGACCGCTACGAGTTTAGGAATGGCAATTGCTGCGATCGAGTGGCAAGCCGGAGTTGTGAGCCAATCAATGGTCTGGTAAGCATGCAGAGCCGTTCGACAAGAGGACGAACTCAGCAAGCCGAAACAGCTTCCAGAAAATCAGCCTTCTCTTGGACAGGCGCCTTTCGCACAACCAGTAATCGAAGAACAGGATTCAGAAGAAACAGCCATCAACGAGCGAGCCTCAGTGGCAGTCAAGTTTCAAACGGACGGGTCAACAATCCAATGTCCTTGACTCCTCTCAATTTTGTCGCTGACTGAACATGTCCGGAAGCATTATACCCAACACCACAACAGGTCCCCGCACCGAACAAGACTCCATTGATTTTACTGTCGATCGCCCCTTCGACTTCACCGCGACCCCAAAAGGCGTTCCAGAAATTCTCCGCTTCTCCTCAACGTTCCTGATCGCCCTCCGATGCAGAATTCAAGCTCAGCCATGCAGTTGCCGAGAGGCCGCTGCTTCTGTTTGCGCGTTCAAACTAGACGCATGCGTGACCAAGTTCCCAGAGGGCCTCAAAGTTCGGCCGCATTTAGACAGATTTGAAACGAAGATAGCCTCACCAGATCCTATCCCTCGTCCAGGATAGCACAGAAGCATACAGACAAACGTCTCAATCTCTCACCTTTGTGTTGAAATTGTTCAGGATCAGGTGCGGAAACGCTTCCGACATCGTCCCGACAGCCGCACGGTCCTTGATGTCGTGCCGCGTGACCACGTTGGACAGTCCGAAGTAGGCCGTCGGTCCGAACGGTAAGTGGCACACGACCAGACCGTCCGGCTCCCCTCGGTGCTCGTGGACCATTACGATGTCGGTAAAATCGTTCGAGCGGCAGGCCTCGACAATCTGGGAGATGACTTGCCCGCCCCGATTGATGCGCTGGGCGTTCGGAAACACGATCTTGAGCTCCTGGTAAGGCAAACATGGTTGTTAGCTCAGTTTGGATCAAATTGGGGGCGCACATTCTTTCACAGTCAATCAGCAATAGCAATGATGCAACTCAGAGAGTTCTGTATCTGGTGGTCCTGACTTTAAGAAGCTTTGGAAGGTGATCCTAAGATTCGACCTGTGTGACAACTATGAAGGAGCTTCAACGACATCTTTGTTTGTCCGTGCGTTGGGATGGTGGCGTGCTCTGACACCAGAAAGCAGACAGGGCTGCAGTCATCCATGTAACCGCACAGCTTGAATCATGTCACAAAGCCAGACTGTCACTTCTGCAATGCGCTTCCCCCATCGCACACATCAAAAATGTGAATCAATTCCAGCTTTGATCGGCACAGGTTCAGTCGTGTAATCTGCACCCATCAATGATAGGGTCCCGCGGATCGTGATGGTTTCTGCGCCCACCTTGACAAACTGCGTGAGGCGGCTGCTCGGATCCCTCGACGTTGTGAGCAAAATTTTGGGGTCCCTCTCTCCCGCCCTGGCATATTCATCATCTATGTGCGTGCGCTGCTCTGCTGTGACATCATCTTCTAACTCGATTTCTTGCCGCAGGGCCGCCTCCTCGTTCCGCAGCTCAGTTGGAATTGGCTTGCCCTCTGAAACAGAAGCGTAGGGTTCAGGCATGATTCTGAACATGCTCAATACAAAAGACGGGCCACATCATCCGGATCCAACCTATTTGGCCTCCATATGAGAACAGAGGACACGAAAGAGGACAGCGAATATCTGCACATTAAGTCCTTTTTTTAAACCATCTTAAAGAAAAGCCTGCTTCTTCTCTTACCACACCACGTTTGTTAAAAGAAGCCTGGTCTCTGCCTACCACCACCATGATTGCTAGGAACAAATCCTAGTTCTTTGCGTACCACCACTTGATGGGAGAATGTTCTGACCTGTCCTTAGAACCCCAAAGCTGATACGGGTGTTTTCAAGTTTCCAGTCTACAAAAAACTGCCTCAAACTCTGTGCTTGAAGAAGCATCTACGTGCGGTGCATATCTCTAGCCTGGTTCACAACCGGTGGCGTCGGAAGAACCTCAAGTTTTAGGGTTTGGACAGGCCATTACCGTCCCCTCTCCCCAGACCGTCTTTCACCGACGGATTGCTGAATGCTGGCCTGAAACTGACTCTGAAACACTAGTTGCAGGAACAGAGCTCTTGGTTCGGGAAACTCGACAAGCAAAGAACAGCTCACAGAGGCCGCTAGACTTGACTTGACAACACGGCTTACCCGCAAGCGCCTCCCTGATCTTCCGCTTCCTTTCATAGACCGCTCGCTCCTTGCCCTCAAGGCTCTTCCTATAAAGGTACTCCCGTCGCAAGCGCGCGTTACGCCGCAGCATGTCTGCCGTCAACCGCACCACTATCTTCCACAATTAATAACACTCAAAAAAGGTGGTGGCACAGTCGTTAAGGATCCTGCGTTTTGCAACTTTTAAATCTTACTGTGGAAACAAGCCAAACTGCCCGGAACGGAAGAAGAGCCTTGAAAAGTTTGGTAAGTTGAACAGTGAAGATGTCAGGGTAGGCGAAGCAGGCGAAGCTCAAAGCTTGTTGCAGCAAAATTTTGGGGTTTAGGTAAACCCCATTGCAGGTAAACCCCATTGCAAAAGCGAACCTGTCTACGCGCACTCTTTTGAATTCAAAACATGGTTTGGCAAAGTCGGGTTTGGTTTGCCCTGGCTTGCTGCATTTCTTCTTGCTCTTCTTCTTGCTCTTCTTCAAGTTGAACTTGCGTGCATCAGATTAGAGCTCGCTGCCTGATCCAGGTCTGTTTGGTCCTGAGATCTTTGAGCATCTGGCAGTGGTGGTTGGAGAAGCTCACGATTCTGGCGTCTTTGTGCCATCAGATCAAGCACATGCAGGGGGGCGGGTAGTGTCAGCGAAAGTCAGCTGATCTGAAGCATTTTAGTGGCTGCGGGAGTGACGTGGAAGTGCTTCCATCCCAAAGTGCAGCTCTTGAACGCAGAGCTATCGAGTACGAATGGAGCGCTGGCTAAACATGCACTAGATGGGTGCCAATTTTGCCGTGCAAAGCCACGATTCGCTGGCCCCTGATGAGGATGAGGCCTTGCCAACACGCTGGACTTACCAGGTCAGTTAGAGAGGAAGACGAGAGCTTGTGGTGCATATGGATTTTGAAGTGAAGGCGGATTTATGGATATCTCCATCTAGATCCAGCCTCAGGCTGGCTCCAAAAGGCTTTCCATTTTTGACACCACCACAGTTCCCAAAAAGTTGCTGAAGTAGATCTACCGTACTTGCCCCATCAGTTTGAGGAAGGCAGCTGATGGCCATGTCAATAGACAACTTTTGGTGCTGACAAATGATGACTGGAGATCCATGACAGACACATCGGAGATGTTGGCAAACTGCGCAAGGGGATCAATCTGGAAAAGGCGGCAATCCGAATGTAGGCAGGCTGTTTGTAGCTTCCTCTGGCACCATTAATCAGATTAACAGAATCAGATACAGTATGTGGAGCCCTACAAGCTCTGGAGGAGGTGCATCATTTTGTATCCTATCTGTAGGGGGCTTACCTGGTTGACATGCTTGACTCACAGGTAAGTTTGTCGTCAGTAGCCTCTTGGCATGTACTCTAAAGGCTCAGCTTTCAGAATTTTCACACGGACTCTGAATATTGGATTCCTGGTTCCTTCATTCAGGAAATCGACCATTACTACGAGGTAAAGTTGGGGCGCAGTTCAGCGGTACCACCGCAAGAGAAGAAAGGTCAGTTGCACAACCTGAGGCCAAGGAAAGACCCGCTCTGTGTGGCAACTTGAAGGCCCTTTCCTTGCCCTGTTCAGTTCACTCCTTAAACGGTTGGCCCACACACTGCATACCATCGGTCTCTCAAGCACAATAAAAGCACTCCTGATAAGCAATTAGAGGTTGAAGGATGGAACTGCTTCAGTTGATCACAAGGCAACAACTTTGAAAGCTTCACACATTCCTTGTGAAATCAGATTCAATGAGTTGCTGGTTACAATTGCCTCAACTTTGTGTCTTTTCTGAGCCCGTCACTTTGTCTCTGGCAGTTCCTCGCGAGATACAAGGGTGGGGTGCTAGGCGTCCTCTCGTCCAGCTTGGAATGGGGTCAACTACTAGTACACAAGTAAATGCAGGGCCGGCTGCAGCCGGACCCACAGAACGGAAGAAACGAAGCGGGGCGAGACCAGGTAAGCCACCAGGCCAGTCAAACTTGCCAGGTCAACCAGATACGCAGCTCATTCTCAGGCAAGAATTCAATTTGGTTCAAGACCTCCACCCATGTTAGCAATCAGCAGTGGAACGCCCTTGAAAGAAGTGCGCGATTCAATCGACGAAGATAGAAAAGTTCTCCATTTAACGAAGTTATCTCATTGTAACTGTTGCCCTTCTCTCTCATTCTTGCAAAGATTGTGTCCAAAGTGAATTCAAGACTGCATACCAGCAACTTGCCGACTTTGATTGCTCACTGGGTAAACTGAAGAAGAACGACATCAGGCAGTCTGACTCCGCTCCAAAATCGAAGAAGCAGACTTATTGCTGCCGTTGATTTGAGGAAGAACTTGATTGGTGAGATGAACCTCTCGAACTCTTCTGCTCTAGCCTCCTTCTTACTAATCTTTCATCTTTCTGTCATGTAGAGAGACAGGCCAACGTTGGGTACAACCTGTGAGATTGCTCGTGCAGGTGGTGGTGACGTCACATATGGAGCTGCCGCTAATGGGAGAGCGCCAGTTGGTGGCTCGGAAAGGGTCTCTGTAGCGGTAAGCTGTTGTTGGCAGTCTCAAGCCCGCGTCCAGCGCTCAGGAGAAAGTGTATGGCCTCCTCACGCACAGACTGAGTTCGGAGCCAGACTCGAGAGGCTCAGACTCGAGAGACTTGGTTTGCAATGGTCCATGGCTTCAATGCAAGAAGTATACATTGCGTCAAATTCGCTCTGCAATTGAGTCAAACTCGCTTCAAAATTGAGTCAGATAGGTTCTGTGACATTGTAGGTACGATCTGAACCTGCAATCCTTTTTGCCGTCAAACATCCCTCTTGCCAGAAGGCTCGCCTACCCTCTCAAGATTCCAGTCAATGACAAGCTTTCAGTTTTCAGTTGCTGTCTATTCCAGATCCCTTGTTGAGAGAGGTGCGGCATAATCTCTCTGCAGGTGAGGCGAGGGACCGGCAGACTGGCCGGCAGTCCTTCAGCCAGTGAAAGCTCGCTCAGCAGCTCGGTGAGCTGTTGCCACACCCTGTTTGTTTGGAAAAATCAGAAGGTCTTCAACCTCCTTAAGCGTGTGGGCGCTTGCGTATGAGCTGGAGCACCTTGCCTTTTGACCACGACGAGGATTTTTTCCGGTTGGAACACTGGGTTCACGGTTTCGGAGGAAAAAGACTGGTCCGGCTCGGAAAAAGGTCCAAAGGAAGGGCAACAGAAACGAGCTACTGTTGTCGCTCGAGCCTCCTCGCGGCATCCACTGCAGAGCAGAAGACATCACGGTCGCTTCGATTTTGCGTCTCTTATGTCGTGCCTGTTTGTCTTGCTGAGAGCTCTTGGTGAAATTTGATGGCAGACCGATCGAGATGGACAAATCTTCTTCGTACCTTTCGGTGACATCGCTAATGAAAACGTCTCATCACGCCTCTGCAGTCAATAGCCTTCTTCCGAACATCTGGCCCGCTTTCTCTGATGGTCATTTTCTCTAGATCGTCGATTGGAGCGACTGGAACAGACGACAATAACCAACGGGTCGACATGATCGAGGCATCACCTATCTTGAAACCCTTCTTCTCCAGGATGTTGACGGCGACACCGATGCGCACGCCCTGCCCCCTCCCCCCGACTTCGGCAGCGTGGAGCTCCAGGAGATGGCGTCCCTCATCACTGCGGACATCGTGGTCCGACATCCGAACGTCCGGTGGAAGGACGTGGCGGGGCTGGAGGAGGCCAAGCGGCTACTCAAGGAGGCCGTCGTCATGCCCATCAAGTACCCGCAGTGAGCATCCCGCTCTAATTCTCTGCTGGAAGCTAACGTAGTTTCCTGGGTGACAATGACGGCCTACACGGGACTGTTGCTATCACTGGAGAGTCCAACGAAGTTCTGTGTCTGTTCAAGGAGGCAGCTGTCATGCCCATCACGTAGCTGCAATGAACTCTCCCCTCTATGTCTTCGCTGGGAGTCTACTTGGTTGATCCTTAGACCTGTTCTGTGGAGACTAGTATTCTCCCTCTTTCGCTCAAAGAGGTTGTTGTCAAGCCCATCACCATTTCGGCAGTGAGCATCTCGCTTGTAACCCTCCGATGGAGGCTTGAACTAAAGCAGATCCTTGTGCTCGAAAATGAAGTGTTGATGGTGAACCTTTCAAGATGAACTGAACGAGGCTGTCTTCGTCCATGTGAATCCCCTCCCTACTAAGCACCCTTTTGAATCTTGTCGGTCTGGTTCTTGATCCATCGTGACCGGTGCCAACTCTCATTCCTCTGCTTTGTTGGGCTCTGAAACGATGTTCAGTCAGGTGCTCGAGAGATAGATTTTCGGATTTCAAGCCCCTCGATGTTTCAATCGTTTCTCAACTGTTCCGAGCATTCCGAGGCCAGAATCTCAAGTCTTCTGGTGCAGGTACTTCACGGGGCTGTTAACACCCTGGAAGGGAATCCTTCTGTACGGACCCCCTGGCACTGGGAAGGTGAGGCGAGAGCATAACTCTATGCGGAAGAAGAGCGGAATATGGGCATTCAGATCGCAGGGATATTGCCTCGCCGTAGATCTCAGGGGATCGCAGCATAATTCTTTCATTTTCAGTGCACATGTTTGCTTGTTGAAAGACTGCCAGCACGATGCAGTCGGGAATATGCCTCTCACGTGATCGTTTTCCTCTCATCCTTCCGAGGCCAACGGAAGTTAAACAGTTTCCTGATTCAGATATATCCAGCTTCTCCTCAGACGTTGGTCGCGAAAGCGGTTGTCACCGAGTGCAGCACGACATTCTTCAACATCAACAGTCGATCAGTCCCGTACTCGTCAACCTGCAACGGATACCCGGCCCTCTGTCGTTATGATTACTTCTTTAAAAGGACGACGATATGAATAGGTCGCCTGTACTCTCTTCCTATTCCCATCTTCAGACGATGCTGGCCAAAGCCGTGGCCACCGAGTGCGGCACGACGTTCTTCAACATCAGCGCGTCCACGATCGTAAGCAAGTGGCGCGGCGACAGCGAGAAGCTGGTGCGCGTGCTCTTCCAGCTGGCGCGCCACTACGCGCCGTCCACCATCTTCATGGACGAGCTCGACGCGCTCATTGCGCAGCGCGGGGAGGGGCCCGGCGAGAACGAGGCCAGCCGCCGCATGAAGACGGAGCTGCTAGTGCAGGTGGGGGATTGCGTTGTTGGTTCGGTTGGTTTCGTCCGTTTCCGTGTGGGTGGTTTTCAGTCTCAATAGAGGGTAGGTCAAGTCTCGGCGAACGAGGCTAACCGCCGCATGAAGTCGCAGCTGCTTGTGCAGGTGAGAATTGCATTATCTGTTGGTTTTGTGGGTTTGTTCCTTCTCGGTTGAGTGATTCCCCAACTTTTAGGAAATTTGAAGCCCGGCAAGAACGAGGCCAGCAGCCGCATGAAACGGAGCTGCTAGTGCAGGTGGGAACGTTTGTTGTTGGTCGTTCCCGTTTCGATTCGAGGTAGCTTCCCTATTTTCAAGAGGCGATGCAAGCCAGGCGAGAACGAGAGAACGAGGGAGGCGTGGTGCTGAAGACCCAGCTCCTCTTGCAGATTGACTTTGGGCGTACACTTTGGGCTTTGTCGCTTCTGATCTCGGGGAAGTCTCCTTTAGGCGGTGGAAAACGCAGCCAGAAGAACGGGAGCGAAGTTTCATGAGAATAGAGACATACAATCATGGGCCATCTTAACGCATTGACCGAGCTGCTTGCGAAAAGTCAGGAACGGTTCGATCGGTCGCGTCACCCTTCGCTATGGAGGGTGGGGAGTCCGTACCCAGATTTTGTTCAGCCAGGCTCTCACATCGGCCGACTTCTGACCCCTCACAAGAGTGCCCTTGCCTGCACCTACATACTCTCTTCCCATTTTCTTTACGCAGATGGACGGCCTTTCTCAGTCGGAAGAGATGGTGTTCGTCCTGGCCGCCACCAACCTCCCGTGGGAGCTTGACACCGCCATGCTGCGGCGCCTCGAGAAGCGCATCCTGGTGCCCCTCCCCGGGGGGGAGGCCCGCCTGCGCATGCTCCAGCACCTGCTGCCCCCCGAAAAGTATCCGGGGCTCGTTTTCGTCGAAACGGTAGAAAAGACGGCCGGGTACTCGGGCTCGGACGTCCGGTTGGTGTGCAAGGAGGCGGCCATGCGTCCGCTGCGGCGGCTGATGTCAGCGCTGGACGAAGAGGAGGAGAGTGGGTCGGATGCGTCCGCAGGTGGGTCACGCTCTTTGTCTTTCCTGCTTAATTCCTGTGCGGATCTTGGGACTGGCTTGGACAGTTTGCGGGTCGAATAAACCGCACTCGCTGTTGGAACGCAATATGGACGGCCAAGCCCGATGGCAAGCGTGGGTTGAAAACTTGGAGGAGTCTGCCTGCGGCTTTGCGGCTGAGAGATGCTCATATTGCGGCGACCGTCTGAGGCCAAGTAACTTCTTTTGAAAAACCCGGCCGAGCATGTAAAGTAAGAAGGCTGCTTAAAGACATCCCGTCGGCAAAACGGGCGCGGATGGGTACGAACTCCTGATTGCTCTCTGCATGCCGTCAGCACAACGTCAGCAAAGCGCAAATGCTCATATCTGTCCGATGTTCTTCTGGTCCAGACTCCGTGCTCGGGCCAGTTACGATGGACGACCTAAGGGGCGCGCTTCAAGTTACCAAGCCCAGCGCCCATGTGTATGCCGAGCGCTTCCAGAAGTTCCACGATGAGTTTGGGAGTCACTTCGACTGAGTTGCTAGCGGTCCGGATATCCCCACCGCTTAGGAAAGGGATAGGAGCTTTGCAAAATGAAGATTCGAGCAGCCTTGTATGCTAGGTGCGCTGCAATCAGTACTGGTAGGAGGTAGACGAAAGCTGCAAGTGATAGTCTTTGATTGACGGCTCCGACGTATGTCGGCCAATGAACGAGGTTCAACCGATTGAACTATCCAGTTACTGCACGCGATTCTTTGTCCTAGGACACGACAACCTGAGCCAAGCAAAGTAAAGAACATACTTTCTGAGGCATTCGACGCTCGGAAGCAGTCAGTCCTCCAAGTATACAACACTTTGGGCTGTTGCTTTCCTAGAATTATCTTGCCAGCTGAAAAGTCTGTCATGCCTCGCAAGTTGAAGAAGTTAACATGGATACTCTCCTCTCCTTGAAACTCTGCACGTGGCGCGCGCTCCGTTGGTGTGCACGTTGGACGGGTGGCATATACTTTGATCGTTCATGACTCATGCCCAAATATTAGTTGGCTCATGATGGCACCTGTCACGCGTAAGGATTCTTCAATGAGTTACTCTACAGCTGCAACTTCGCGATAATCGTTGCTATAATGTTGTATGTATACCTGCCTTTTGATGCGCAATTTTTTGATGCGCAATTAAGCACTTTGCAGATCTCAATGATCGCCGGCTGGCCCATTCAATATCTAGCTACGTATATCTGTCCGTTCAGTGGCCGAACTAGAATAGGCGCGGAGTTGGGGCTGCTAAAACTCGTGGAATACTCGACTCATCGATATACATGATCCATTGCATGACAGCCACATGTATAGGAAATGACGTACGTGAAAGTGTTTACTTGGAATGGCTAGGTTTGGACGTTGCAGGTTTTCATTGCTTCTAAAAGTGGCAATATGCGGGGGACTCGGGCTGCGCCATTTCTTTCCACATCCCCCATTGGGCAGTACTTAGCCGAGTCTTTTGCACAACAAGGCTTTGCCACCTGTACCCACTTGGCACTACTTGCTCTGCTCTAGTACGCGGGTCTGCTCCGCGAGAATTTCCGTTATGGAGGTTGCTTCGGGGTCCTGCGAGACGCGAGCTAGTCCATATAAGCAAACGTACTCAAGATAAGCTACGCGGATCAACCACGCTTCATCGCGCTTTACATCTGCGCAGGACAGTACGTTGCAAACCCGACCACGTTTATCGAGCTTTGCATCTGCGCAGGACGATAAGTTGCAACAAACAGCGCTGTTGATTACCCGGTTAAAGATGCTTTGACAACGGTGAGGAGTAGTATGATAGCGTGACAATCAACAAGACCCTAAAGGCTCCTCTAGAGCGCAGAGGCTATAGAAGGCGAGCTGATGCGATACGCTCACGTGGCAAGCTCACCTGAACAAACTTGTCAATCGACTGCTGGTCGGGAAAGGGCGGTCCGTTGAAGCCGGCCCCGCACAACACCAGGTGAATCTCGCGCTCTCTGTCCAGTTGGGCAAACCTTATGCTCCTTTCCCGCTCGTGCGCCTCTAATGCATCCAAGATCAAGCGTTCCCACTCGGCGAGGCTCGGGCCTGACTCCGCCACAACGAAAGCCCGCACTGTCTCCAGGAAAGCGGTCGGCTCATCTGCGTCTAGCATTTTGACCACGCTCACCTCTGGCCTCCCTACTTTAAAGCTTCGGGAGTAGTCTTTGAAGGCTTTGTAATACTTGACATCCCCAATCAGCGGAGAAGCTATTACTGTCACGGGCCAGACGCTCTTCAACTCCGCGAGTCTCCGCTCAATCTGTATGAGCTGATCTAGCGTCAGAGCCCTGACGAGCGGCCGTTCCGTTGCAGGGTCGAAGCTCCGCTCTCCGAGCATGAAGCGGATCGCGAAAGCGACGGCTTCCGCCGGATCCAACCGCAGCTTCGCCGGGAGACACCGAAAGCAGTCCCAGTCTGAGCGATCCAGGTCGGGGGAAACCGGTGTGATGCAGGGGAAGCCAGCCATTCCGAGCACAAGGTGACCGGAAAGGCACACGAATCCGGTCATGAGCATGTATCGTCCGTTGGCAAAGTTTGTCTCGTCCGGATTGTCTGCCCTGACATCCGCCAGAAGATGGTCGTAGGATTCCGCTGTGTAAGGACCGATAAAGGAGGAGTCGGGGAGAGGAAATGTCTGCGCGCCACAGTAGGGGCAAGCCGCGGCGAAGTCTTCGTCCAGCTCCGAAAAGTTACCGTATCCCACTCCTTCGTACTCGCTTGTTGGTGTTGTCGTCTCCTTCGAGCTGACCTCATTTTCCCCCTTTCCCGAATTCAAGCTGGTGTCTTGAGCGAAATCGGGGGCTTCATCTTTCACCTCAAACAGCTCATACCCTCCCCCCCAATCCAAGTTCTCTTCACCCAGCTTCTCCTTCCGGTTCAGACACGCCGCTGCCCCGGTCGCTTGAGCGATCTCCGAGCGCTCAAAGTTTCTGAGCATGCCCCGAAACGGCAGGACGGGCGGCCGGGACACATACTCGTGCGTACCTTCCCGACGAAGCGCGGCGCGGTGGTACCTCTCACAGTACGACCGGCGCGCGACGAAGATCTCGTCTCCCCAAAAACGAGCGTCCAGAGACAGGGTCTGTCTCGCTTCTTCCCGCGAAACCCTGTGGAAACCTCTGGGCAGCTCTGTTTCGACGTGCCCCCGGCACTCGGTCCATTCGTACCGTCCCCATAGCGCGTCAGACTCCAACACCGGCTCGAAGGTCGGGAATAGAATTCCCGGGCAGTAGACAAGCAGCTTGAACAGCCCCCTCCATCCGCCCGGGGGATCCCCCGCCCCTGGATCGTAGTAACCCAGCTCCTCAACCAGCCCTGCTGCATGCGTCATGCACAGCTCCTTCCAGGTGACGTCATCCAAGATCTGACGCCACTCCTTGCAGACTGCTCCTAACGGGACAAGGTCTTTTGGATGGGGCCCTACTTTGGCAAAGACTCGCTGCAGGATGTCTGGGGCCAGATATGGAAGAGCACTGCGCGCTTCTGAAACGCCATACTCTGCTTCAACATCTCCGGAAGAGGAGAAAAATGAGCAGGGATTGCGGAGCTGTGCGGTACGCTGCATGCTGGGATTTTCCTAGGGGATCAAGTTGTTGCCAGGTCTGCAAAACTTATCATACCGCTTGAATTTTCTGGCCTACCGGCGGCTTGCACTGCTCCGGGATGCTCCGGGATCCAGGTGTCGCCAAGATGTCAAAAGTTGAAAGGATTTCAAATCATGCTACAGCAACAAGTTTACGTCGCTCTAGCTGCGCGTCACGTGTGCGCGCAGTCACGCGACCGGAGCGCGAGGGTTTACGCGAGGTTCGAGGTTTCCTTCCGAACGCGGCCGCGAGACAGGCACGGCCGACATTTCTTGCTCGCGCGGGGCGCCTGCTCGATCATTAAGAGACTCACGCGTGTCATCAAGTGCAGGCAAGTGTAGTCGAACAGCTGACCATGGGGGGAAGTCAAGGGGGGCGGAAGCGCCGTCAAAGGGCGGCACGGAGCTCGAACGAAGCCGGTCAAGCTGGTGACAGCGTCTTTGATGCATTATATCCAGAGCTTCTGGACTGCATCTTGCGGCGGGCGGCGGTCCACAGCTCGCGGGCTTGGAAACGGTTGGCTCTGGTGAACAAAGCCTTCCAAGACTCTGCACTGCGCTGCTCAGGAACCTTGGTGCTCCGCCGAGGGGGTCTGCTGACAAAGGGGCCGTTGAAGCTGCGACCTCTGCAGGGCGCAGAGGCGTGTGCTGCCCTTTCCAAAGAGATCGGCGCTCGGCCGAGGGTTTCGAGGCTGGTCCTGAAGGGGGACGTCAAGCTTGCTGCCGCTTTTTTGCCCGCCATTTTAGAGTTTGGAGCCCGCTGGATCTCCTTGGAGGTAGATGCTCCTGAAACACACTTTGCGAGATATTTGGATCTACTTCCCAAACTGCAGGGATCTTTGAGACGGCTGAAGATCAGTATCAGACGATACTATAACGGTGACAGTGATAGGAGAAGCAACAGCAATGCACGCCTAGACTTAAGCGACGTCTTGAGGGAATTCCCGGACCTCGAGAGCCTCACCATCAAGGGTGGACAACCACTGGCACTTCCAGCAAGCAAGCAGGGAAATGATCCGGACGCAGAGGACTGGGAACTGCCAAGCAGCAAGCTTCGTAGTCTAAGCATTAGCGAACCAGGTGTTTGGGATCTGCAGCAGTTCATCTCCTACCTCCCAGCTTGCGTTTGCAACCTGCGCTTGTTGAGGTTGCATTGTTCCGTCAGCTCTCAACGTATTTGGCACCGAGTCATAGCTCGGCACACCACCTTTTTGCCCCTGACTCAACTGCAGACATTGCAACTCGATGTACATTATGACAAGACGCTCTCGAGTGCCCTGCTGGAGGAGGTCACAGACCGGTGCACGTGCTTGCGCCAGCTTTTCCTTTTCTGCTACCCCCGTGTCTCTTACTCTTCGAGGCCCCCTCTGAAGCTTCCCAACTTTGCAGAGAAGTGTCCCGAATTGGAGCGCCTTGTAGTCAGTCAAGGCGGATCGGTTAATAGCTCTAGTGAGTTCGTACAGATTCTTCGCGAAAGAGGCGTAGCTGTACCTTCCAGAGCGCAGCAAAACACCAAGATTCTGATTCTTGAAGACGAAGACAACGAACACGCAGAAAAAGTCGGCAAACGATGCTCCGTCACTTCTCTCACTTGCATCGGTTTGTTTTGGGCAACTCCAATTAATCTGAACGATCCTGTAAATCGCAAGCGCGCTGTTGGGAAGCCTACAGCTGTTCAGAAGTGGTGCGACGCTTTTTTGTAGCAGACTGAGTATTTGGATGATGGGAAGAGTAGCGCAAGCTGATACAAGAGACTATCCTGTTTCAAGCTGAAACCGATTGCGAATATTATCTTCTAACGAGTATGCCTTAATTTCTCTTAGACAAGGTGCTGAAGAAGTGTCGTGTGATTACAGCAAGGACTCGAAGAACAAAAGATGGCAAAATGCAGCACTCCTGGATGTCAGAAGAGAGCCGGCACTCCTTTTCGCATTGAAGCGACGAAGGTTCAGGGCCAATATATATGCATGATGTAAAAGTAGCAAGATCTCATGTGTACCTGTTCCATGCACCTGGATTTGTTTGGTACCCACACGAGGGTACAAGAAAACGACTTGAAGCCTCATTCAGGTCCTCAAACGGCCGGGTAATTACTCAATCTCAAACGCGGCATGCATAATTGATAACTGGCAGATTTAGCAACAATGTGTATTCTCCGCAGATGAGACGCAACATTTCTGGTCCGCCACGCCTATTATGATGCTTGTCAGTGCTTGATGGATACTTAATTAGTATGCTTGCCTCTTTTCAGGAGAACTTAGCGCTCATACAAAAGTGAGTACTCCCTTGGGCAAGCGCAATATGCTGGGGGACGTTACAACCGCGACTCATTCCATTTGTCGTCTTATCAAAGAACTAGAAAACTCACGTGCAAGGCATGAAGTGCAAGCTAGCTTGAAGAAGCAGAACAATACATGATCATCGCGGGAAAAAATGGCAAGTCCAACGAGCATATTTGGGCTTCAATAAATCTAGATGCATGCCTGTGGTAAAATGGCGCCAGCAAAGGTCATATTTCTACTCGGACTGTAGTGTGCAACTTCCAGAGGTGAACTGGATCGAAGAAAGTTCAGAGATGTTCGCCCTACTCAAGAATCATGTCAGATGGAGATTTGGATTTGTAATCGACCCGCCGCAAGTCAGACAACGTCCTCGTTTCTATGCATCCATAATAAAACACCCCCACTAATTGAAGAAGGCAACTGCAACACGTCATGTAAGCTCGATCGGGGGCAGCGCTCTGCTGAGTTGTGTACAAAAGCTTAAGAGTCTGTGACCACTACGCACTCATTTCTCAATCTTTTGACTACGCGGACCTGCTGATCTAAAAACCTCCACCACGGAGATAAGCATGCAGTCCTGTAAAAGAAGCTGAAACCGTTAGCCTTGACAGCGCGCGACGCTGACCACCTTCACCTGTTCATTCGAGGCCGGTGAGAAATGACCTGTAGTATTCAATAAGCAACACGTTCATGAGTCAGTATCTGGAAAAGCAACTTCTGCTTGACGTTGACCTTTTGAGTGGCCACACGACGCGACAGATTCAAAGATGGCTCCCCAATCCAGGACTGAGGAGCCTTTGGTCCAACAATAAAGGATGAAATGCTCAAACCTCAGTCCTCAACGGATCCGCAGGACCCCTTCTCGGCCTAAGCCTCTAACTGACCCGGAACCGTCTCAGACTTTCCACCCTCTTACAATCTCAAGAGTCGAGACAGAACTTCTAAAGTATGAGTCTTCTGACAAAGGATACCTCAACGAATGTACGCGCCCCACGTGGCATGAAACTCACCTCCATATTCGTTTCAACCGCTTGGTCCGGAACTAGGGGGAGTGGAAGCCGGCATCACGCATCGCTCGCTGGCTTCGGCAGTCCCTACTGCACGGGACATTTTTTGCTTCTCCTCACGCTCGTGCGTTTCAAAAGCTTCCAAGATTGAGCGCTTGCATTCGGCAGCGGTCATGCTTCCGGTCCCAACAAATGCCCCGACAATTTCCAAGAGATCGGCTGGAACATTTGATCTTAGCACCTTCATTATGCTGCCGACGCTATAGCGGTGCGGATACATGAGATCCTCGAACACCTTGTAAGAAAGAAGGCGGCCTTTGTCGAGAGGCCAGATTTCTTTGAGCTGCGTAAGCCTCGCCTCAACGGCCATCACCGTTTCTAGCTCTAAGCTGCTGATGTATCGCTGCCCTTCTTCCCGTGCCAAGCCTTGCTCTCCGGCCATGAAACGGACCATGAAGGCGACCGCTTCCGCTGGCTGGAGCTGCAGACGGTCGCCGGAATGCGGCACCGCTAGACCGCGGCCGAAATTTGGATGGCCAGCAACCCCAAGCACCAGGTGGCCGGCAAGGCATACGAAGCCGGTAATCAGCAGAAACCTCCCCTTCCAAACGAAGCCCTCGACATGAAAGTCGTTCACGACATCTGACGTCATCACGTCGTAGCTCTCTGCAGCGTACGCCCCCGGGAAGACTATGCTCGGGAGATGGAACGTCTGGCCACCGCAGTATGGACAGGGGCCGGCGTTTCGTGGGCTTGAAACCTCCGCTTTGGTTTCTTCCCCGCTAGATCCCCTCTGAGACTTGGCCCCTTCTTTCAACCCACTCTGCGATCCGTCACACGCTTTCCCAGCTACGTTCTCTTGGCTGAACTTGGACGTTGCAGCACTGACACGCATAATTTTGTCGGCTTCGACTTCGTTCTTCTCGGTCAGAAACGTAGCAGCCCCGGTAACTTCGGCAAGTCCCGAGCTTCTGAAATTCTTGACGACGCCTCTGCAGCAGAAGATGGGAGGGGGGTTGTATTGGCGCAACAAGCCGCGCTTGCAGGCGGCATCGAAGTGGCAGCACAGACGCGAAACAACAATCTCATCCTCCACGGAAAGGAACAGGGCCTTCTTCGACTCCACCCCCTTGCGATATTCCCTGAGTTCTGACTGTACGTGCCCCCGGCCGTAGGTCCAATCGTACTTTGCTTTCAGGGTCTCAGACTGCAACACTGGCTCAAAGGTCGGGAAGTGAACCCCCGGGCAGTGGACAAGCAGCTTGAACAGCCCCCTCCATCCCCCTGGTGGATCACCCGCCCCCTGGTGGCAGTACCCGAGCTCCTCCACCAACCCCCCCGCGTACATCAGGCACAGCTCCTTCCAGGTGACGTCATCCAGGACCTGACGCCACTCTTGCAGAATGCTCCCAAGGGGCCAAGGTCCTTAGGATTGGGCCCTAACTTGGCGAAGATTCGTTGCAGGATGTCTGGGCCTAGATAGGGCAGCGCAGTGCGCGCATCTGCAACGGTACATACTGCTGCACCAGTGTAGTCAGAAACAGCAGAGAGTGAGCAGGGATTTTGAAGGCTGTTTGGTGTGTTGCATGCTGGAGGGATCTTTGTAGGCGTTACTAACTTGTAAGTTGTCTGGAGGAGAGACGTTGTCACCATATTCAGAGAAGTGTCCATTTAGAAGGCTTATCTGCAGACTGCATCCACTACCATTGAAGGTCCATTAGTTGGCAGGCTAGCCCTTTGGCGCGTCTCTATCGTCTCTGGGAAAAGTCTCCGCCGATGCACGCCGTGAGCACGCCCCAGGGGTATTCTGCTCCGCCCTGACCATTCGACTTAGTAAGCTAGTTAGTTCAAGCTTGTGAGCTACCGGCCAGCTAGTCCGACGCGCGGCGCGCAGTCACGCGGCCGCCCCCGGTCCGGCGCGAGGTTTGCAAGATCGGATGGTCAGGGTTTACACTTCTGAACGCATGCGGCCGCGGAACAGGCACAGCCGACGTTTTGGAGAATGAAACAGGACGGTACGTCACGTTTCGATCCCTCTCCAACGCCCTGGACGTCCCTGCTCATTACTGTAAAACTTAGACTTGAACTTCGCAGGTGGGCGCTTCTCAGACACGCACCATTTAAGGGTCTCTTTTAAGTGCAGGCGTGTTCCTCGTTTCAGCCTGCTCTTTGCGCCCTTCCATGGCGGGTAGTCATGTAAGGCGAAAGCGCCGCCAGAGGGCGGCGGCTGAGAGCGCCGCAGCTGATCAACTTGGTGGCGACAGCATCTTTGATACACTTCTGCCGGAGCTTCTGGACTGCATATTGCGCCGCGCGGCGGGGCAGAGCTCGTTGGCCTGGAAACGCATATCCTTGGTTAACAGGGCCTTCCAAGAGTCTCTTATGCGCTCCTCAGAAACGTTGGTGATCCGCCGAGGGGGCCCGCTGACTAAGGGCCCGCTGAAGCTGCGACCGCTGCAGGGCGCTGATGCATGCGCTGCTCTTTCAAAGGAGATTGACGCAAGGCCGAGGGTTTCGAAGCTGGTCTTGAAGGCGGACGCCAAGACTGTTGCCGCTCATTCGCCCGCCATCTTAGAGTTTGGACCCCGGTGGATCTCGGTGGAGGTGGACGTTCCTGAGCCGCACTTCACGGGTGTCATGGAGCTTCTTCCGAACCTGGAGAGCTCCATGAGACGACTGACCATCAGGGTTCGACAAAAGGTCACCGGTTACATGTATCAGGGCGGCAAGAGCATCGCACACCTGGACATAGGCGTCGTCGTGCGAGCTTTTCCGGACCTCAAGAGACTCAACATCAAAGGAGCATACCTTCTCCAAGTTCCAGCCAGCAAGAACGATGCATTAAACGCTGAGGACTCATTGAGCTGTAAACACAGTAGCCTCAGCATCCGCGAGCCAGGAGTTTGGGATTTGCAGCAGGGTTTGTCCTACCTACCAGCTTGCCTAACCAGCCTCCGCTCCTTGCGGTTGCAATGCGCGGACGCATTTCCTTTGCACGGGGTTCGAGCTCAGCATATCTCTTTTGCGCCCCTCATGCAATTGCAGACACTGCGGCTCGATGTGCGTCACAATATGACGCTCTCCAGTTCTCTGTTGGAGGAGGTCGCAGAGCAGTGCGTTTGCCTGCGGCAGCTTCTAGTTTTCGTCAGCCCGTGTGCCTCCTACGCTTCGAGGCCCTCTGCGAAACTTCCCAACTTTGCAGAGAAGTGCCCAGACCTAGAGCGCCTTGTAATCAGTCAAGGCGGGACGGTTGCCAGCCCTGGGTTTGTGGAGCTGTTCCGCGAACACGGCCTAGCTGTGCCTTCGAAGTATTCGAGCACGCAGCGAGACACCAAGATTGTAATCCTTGAAGACGGAGACACCGAACACGCGGGACGCTGCGGCAAGCGATGCTCCGTGGCTATTTTCACTTGCATCATCTCAATCTGGGCAGACCCGGTCGATATCAACGATCCTGCGACCCGCAAGCGCGCTGTCGGGAAGCCCGCAACGGTTAAGAAGTGGTGTGACGCGTTCTGTGAGACAGAAGGCCCTTAAGAATCATTGATAGGATGGAAGAGTAGTGCACGGTGGTGGAACAATCTGCCTTGGTGGCGCTTAAGACGGGTATCTTGGCTCGAAATGTGTATGCTTGTTTCCTCGGATTAAGGTGCTGAAGATTCCGGTGTGCTTTTTGTAGCAAGGATTGTACAAGATAGTTGGCACTAACTGCTACCATTTTCTGAAGAGAGCCTGCACTTGTGCTTCACATCGAAGCCTCAGATGCCCTGCATCACGTACTAAGATCGATTATATGCTCTATAGTTCTTCATGGATCTGGATATTATTGAGTTTCACATTGCCATGCACCGATGTGACTTGAAGCATGTCAGCTCTATGCAGCTATGCAGAGCGCGTTGAGCAGAACATCGATACAAATATGAACACGCGGTATGCATGGTTTTGAACCTGGCAGGTTTATCGATATTGCGCATATAATGGCTTCGCAAAGGAATGAGGGCGGTACGCAAATTGACCGCGCTGACTATGCGCCTATGATTCCGTGCAAAGTCGATTAGATATCAATGAAACTTTTTCATGCCGCTTCCCAGAAAATTGCGCGGTGGCTCATGGTCAATCTCTGCCTGCATCATGACTTCAAGCTGGATGTAACTTGAGATGCTCGAGAACTGAAGTTATGATTGGATGGAGCATTATATAAGAATTATGATGCATAAAATTGAGTGACCGTAATTGGCCGTACTTCTTGCATGAGGAAGTACGGCCTCTGTACTGCACGTCGACAAAACGTGTACGGAATCAATCAAAACACTGCATTAAAAGTACGTGCCATGCACCTTACATGGGATGGAATGCAAGCTGTTGCGGATGCACCTTCCCGTATAGGACAGGACAGGACTCAGAATGCATCCAAAACGACGGCCAGTCCAAATTCCATGCATCGGTATTGTCAGGTAGACAACCCTATAGTGCGTTGTTGTACGTCTTGATGCATGTCATCAGCAGGTTCCAGTTGAATCATCAGGACATCGCGGCATGATCTCAGAAATGACTTCTTTTATTCGTTCGATCATGTCTCCCTGAATCCTTATTGTATGCTGTTCAACCCTTGAACCGAACACTTTCGCGTGTTTCTCGAGGCAGCTCTGTCTCTCAGGACAAGTAACAACAGAGCTTCTCAGCTTGTTTGCCTTGGCGCCCTTGCGAGCCCGTGTCCTTCGCCGCCGCTACGAGAACAACCATTGGTATGCACCAGTTTCGACGATCACCAGCGGACTGCATTCTACTTCTTCCCTGACAACAGGTTGTCCAATCCGAGCATGTTCTTGACTTTGTCGATTCCTTTTTGCATCGACTCCATCCCCCACGACTCGCGCTCCACGTTGCCGAGGTCCGTCTGCGCCGTCTGCTTGTAGCTGGCACCCCCGCCGCTGCCCCCCTGGCCTGTGGCGTCATCGAGACCGCCTTCGCCCTTGGGACCTGCAAACAACGATAAAAAGGTTCAGACTTCGTCCCAAAAAAGGACTGCGATGAACACAGGCGCAGACTTGCAGTGCAGTCTCTCACGTTCGTGGTCGTCATTGGAAGGCCCGACAGCAGTCCCACCGGCCGACTCTTTTAAAAGCAAACGCTGATATACGTGGAGACAACTTGGACACCCGCCAATTGCCACAACTACCCTCGTCCAAACGCCCCAAGTACTAGCCCTCAAAAGCCCTTCGCTTAGTTTGGTTCGATCAACGGCTGGCGAGAAACCTGGAAAGCCCGCTGTAAGACCCGTTCTTCATCCGTCCTTTTGAACGGCTGGTCTTCCGTAGCCGGTCACTGTACTTGAGAATCTTCGAAGAGAACCTCTTACGTCTCGACAACCCGTACATCGAATGATTTCTTGAGAGAACAATGATTGACTTGATTTCTTCTCGGATGAAAGTCTGAATAGATTCAAAATCAACGAGGGCCAACCTTTGCTTTCCATATGGCGACGAAAGGACGCCCCGAAGCCAGAAAGCCATCCTCGAGAAAGCAGGAGCGGAAAAGAACCCCAGATGACCACCCAGAAACAACAGCAATCCGTTTATAGGAACTCACCAATAGGGTTCATCATGTGCCCCAGCTGTCCATTGACCCACTCGTACGCCGCTAGCGCGACAGGACCCTTTAGGAGCGGCCGTACCTGCACAACGAGCACGTCGGCAATTCATTACAGCTACGCTTTGCACCAACACTCCGTGTGTCTCAATTTGGGCCCCGTCGGAGCTGATTCGACTTGTGTTACAGAGGGTGGACGGCGCAAGCGGCACCTTCAACAATAGAGAAAACTGCGTGGACGAAGGCAGGTCCTCCGACCGTTCGGGGGGGAATCATTCATGCTGAACAAGATTCTTTGGCGGAGTCCTTCAAACGATTGTTGTCAGCTGATGCATAAATTAATGTGACATGTAATGCAGACCCGAAGTAAGAGTCCACATCCTTCTCACATCGAGTCTTATCAAGACGGACAGGGCTGCGATGAGGAAGGGCACAAACACAATGCTGTTGTCAGACTGATCAGAAGTATTGTCCTTTTCCTGAGTGACCATGCAGTCAAGAGCAACCGAAGGGCTTGAGGCGTGTTTCTCAATCCGCCTGGAACTCTTGACAGAGAATCCATGCTTATTACTGACAGCATCGACCACAATCTGAAAAGCGCAAAGAGGTCGTCCAACACAATCATGCTCCTTTCGAAACCCCCAACTTGACTGACTTTCCGCGTATTCATTCCATCAAACTGGCAGTACAAACCAAGGCCCAAACATGCTCAATACGACCCCTACCCTTCCATGCCCTGTTCCTTCTGGCTCTGAGAGGAAGAGCACAAGCCTGGTTGACTTCATCAAGTTGACAGGCAGCCAGACGAGGTGGGGGCTATCTCAAACATGAGACAACAGGCAATCCCACGGTAAAGAAAGACAAGCAACTCAAACAAAACTCAAGCAAATCGTTCTTCTTAGAGCAGGATTGCTACCAGAACATCCTGTTTGAAGTTCCGACTCTGTTCACTGGACTTTTTGAGTTGACTAGTTAACTCCTTCAAAAACTTGAAAGCGGTTCAGATCGAGATCGAATCGTCGTTGACCCTTGACAAAGGCCCTAAAAGCAGTTCAGGAACCCTGAACTGACTCCTCACCTCTTCCAGAAACTTGGTGTACTCTGGCCCCGCATACACATCGTTCATCTCCACAAAGCCGTCGTACCGCTGCCAAAAGTGGTAGACGCTTGGCTCATATGCGTCCTGGCTGCACTCGAACGCGCGCACCGGCGACTTGGAGTCTGCTACCTGGAGGGGGGGGAGAAAACGAGAAGTAATCTTAACACGGGCAATAAGAAAGACGTTTCACAAAGAGTCATCAGGACAGCTGGGCCTGGCACTCAGCCATATGATGCAACCAATCGATAGCCCCCGTTTGATGAGCTGTAATGCAGCCTGTACTCGCGTGACTGGAAAAAGAGACTGCGATGAGGGATAGATGCTGAAGGTTTTAAGATGCGTGCGCAATTCATTTAGAGGAGGTTGTACAGCTCGTGTTCTAAGTATGTCATTATAAAAATGGTCACTAGAGGCGCCAGTACAATTATGGTATCTTACACCAGAAGCACTTGCACAATCCACCCGGCTACTGAAAAGGAGAGCTTTGGTCAATGATGGTGTGAGGCTGCTAGACCAGAGGACTTGCTGCTTCCATAGGGGCCCCCAAAAAGGGGGCTGACTAAATGAGTAGAACAAGGAGGTATGCGAGTCAGTCAGTCCCAGGGACTGACATAATCCAGTCACGTCTGAGGTTTTTGTGAGTACTGCTGACAGAGAGTCTTACAATTCGTCTCAGAAAACTGGAGAAAGTGGACGAGTCTGCGGGTACAGTAAAGTAGAGATTAATAGCAGGTTACGAAGGTATTAGTCAATAAACAACGCAGAGACGCGAAATGCTAAGATGATCCAAGAATTTTAAGGGGCTGGGTAAGTTGGATGCAAATATTGTGCTTCCGAAGTTAGGGGCTCTCTCTCCCATGATGGAAGAGGAGGAAGGAGGGCAGTATTGAAAATTGATTGGACATTAGCAAACCCTAATATGGCATTCTCCTAGGTGGTGGATATTCACCGGTGGTATTCTCATAATTGACCGAAGAACCTTCCTTGCACTGCTTGACTTCCGATAAACAAAGTGAAGGGGCATCATAAATGGATTCATATAACTGGACTTGATGCATCGTCTCCGGCACCAGACATGAATGTTGACTATCTCCGATTAACACGAACCGACAAAACTTGGGTAGCAATAGAGCATCCCCATGGGCCGCACCTTGATTGATGAAAAGGAACCGGCTTGAATGCTCTCACTAACAAAGGTTCAAAATAATGTCAGACTGATTTTGAGCTGCAGTCAGAAGCTTCTTGTCAGCGGTGATTGAAGTGAAGCAAGTCACAGATCCTAGTGCTTTTGTCAGTGCTGCTTCTGTCAGAGAGAGCAACTACAGTATCAGGGTCCTCCCTCGGGTACTTTCACAACGAAAGAAACGCAATGTTCATCAGAATCATATCCAAGTCTTCCCTTTTCAGAAAGAGGCCGTCGTGCTTCTGGAATCACTCAAATAAAGGATGGAAACCAGTTGCAAATGTGTCCAAGGAGTCCTTTGACAAACATGTGTATACCGAGCAGTTGGACAACACAGTCCGCAAATGAAAGCTTTGGATTTCTTTGTGCAATTGGCAGCCCTACACTGTCACGAAGACAAAAGCAAAAAGTGCACCACCCACCATCGGCCGGAAGTGCTCCACGATACCCCGGCACAACGCTTGCACCTTTTCCTCCTTGCCCTCCTCCGCAGCCAACGTCACTGTAAGCACCAGGCTCCGCTCTTTGTCCTTCCTCTTCGCCGCCTTGACCTCCAAACCCCGTCTTAACCTGTTCACTTCCCTCCTTGCGCTTGTGGCCGGCATTGCTATCCTTCTCCCCACATATGAGCTGCTGTACTGTGAAAGATGAGCCTCTGCAACGGCTTGCCTGCTACATCTCCTGCCAGGCAGCAGTGCCTGACTTCTACAATTCAGTGAAGGAGTAGAGGGAGTGGCATTCTTGAGCAACGAGGCTTGCCCTGCATTCTGCACTAGACTTTGGCAGGTGGCCATGATTTCTGGCCCTGCTGATGGCAGAAATTGAGATTGTTAGTTTGCTGCGATTTGCGTGGGGTTTGCGTGCCGCTTTTCCAGGAGAAGAGAGATAATGGGTAATAGAATGATAGAAGCAGAATGTGCCAGAGACCCAAACCTGTCGGGAACGATTCCGCCGGGCAATCAAGATACAAGGTGGGCTTCTTCCAGGAAAGATACAACTTGGCCGAATGCAGACAAAGCGCACCTCTCTCGCTAATTGGAAGCTTGTCGCTTCTTGTATGTAATACCGGCCTAGCACATACGGTATCTCCTCGCCCTTCTCCCTCAGCTCTTCAGTGACTCTGAGAGAGGCAACTTGTCAAAGTCCAGATATCCAAATCTTGAAGCTTGCAAAATCTTGCACCAGCCAATCAGCTTGCAGCATTTCGAAGCCTTTCGGACAGATTCAACCCTTTATGACGATATTTTGAGCTTGTTAGCGTCCGAAACCGAGCGCTTTTGTCCGCAGGCTGGCAGTAGTAGGTATTACAGGTAGGTAGACCGTGACGTGCTAGCCATGTGCGAGGAGCCAGAGGAGAGTGCTCAGAACTTCCAAGTTTCTGCAAGCAATGCAGTCTGCAGAGCGCACGAGGGTGTTTTCAACAAGCCTTTTAGTTCGAAGGTCGCGCACCGAAACCCTTCAGAAGGAAGCAGATCGACATGTGGTCGCGCCAATGGCGAGGACCAAGCAGACGGCCAGGAAGTGCAGTGGTGGCGGAAGCAGGTTCCGAAGATCGCCACCTCCCCTTGTGGCCAGTGACTCACGTCCAACGGGCAAGGCGTACTTAGAAGTGCTCAGGCAGCTCGAGCAGTCTCAGAGTCCCGTGTCCTCCGAGCACGTGACTGGTGTGGTTGCTGGAGTGATCGAGCAGAGCGTTTCGGACGCCCGCACCGCTCTGCCTGATCTGGGCCCCGACCTCCTCCAGCGCATCTTTGCAAAAGTGGGGCCGCATCCAAAGGACTTGGTTCCCCTTGGAGCCGTAAGCAAGGAGTGGCGTCAGGTTCTGAATGAAAGCACGTGGAAGGAGCTGTGCTTGGAGCATGCGGGGGGTTTGATCGAGGAGCTCGGGTATAGCAACAAGGCGGACGGGCCCCTGGGAGGATGGGCTGGGTTATACAAAGTCTTAGTGTATTGTCCAGGGTGTCACCTCCCAACATTTGAGCCTGTACTGCAAGCGGAAGCTTTGCGTGAGGACTACAACTGGACGCATGGCCGGGGCCATGTGGAAGCAGCTCCAAAGGGGTTTTGCAAGGGAAAGGAAGCGAAAGAGGCTCTGTATCTAGCAACCTCAGATGAGGTGGTCATCTCGCGCCTCTGCTCTCATAGACAGGCGGTTGAGATGTGCGATGCAGATGAGGCTTCGGCTCCTCCGATCCTGGCTTGCAGGGGCTTCGTCAAGTCCTTTGAGAGCTCAAAGCTTGCCCAAATGAGCGGGGCCGCTGCATTCTTGAGCAAGAGCATTGAGGCAGCGGGGGCGGCAAGCGGACCCGCAGAGTCTCCTCGCAAAGGAAGTGACCTGGAAGGAGCTGCGATCACTTCTAATGTTGAAGGAATGGTAGATAAGGAGGATCTGGATGAGGAAGACTCAAATGCTTTCGACATAGATGACTCTGAAGAGTACTCCTTTGGGGACGAGGATGAAGGTAGAAGCGAAGGGGAAGCCAGCTCTGACTTGGAGGAAGCCAAGGAACTAGGGCCGCCATGTCTTTACTGCAGCAGCCCAATCTTCGCCCTGCCTCGCAAAGCCTTCGATCCTCTTTCGCATGTAGACTACGACGAGCTGCTATCAGAGTCTTTCTGTGATGCTTACGACAGGCATGAAGACGGCGATGATTCGGAAGAGGACGAGCGCGATGACACAAAGTTTGTGCTAGCGTCGGGGTTTGTGTGCCTCAGCGGCCACATTGTTCTTGGGATGGCTGGATATCCCAAGTTGGTTGCACTTGGAGTGCCGCACTCTGGAGAAGCTCTGAAGCTTCCGCGTCCGCAAGCAATTGAGTTCCTGCTCAAGTTTTTGGTCGGGAAGCGAGGTTGGGACCACAGGGAGGGGCACCAGTTCATTCAGGGCCTTGGGCTAGATCAGCTGATCCAAATTGATGCCAGGCTCATGCAAAAGAGGAGGTCTGGCCTGTTGAGGAACGTGGAAAGTCGGACGATTACAGGACTTTCGGTTTTCTCTATAGAGGGCCGGAGTCTCCCGTGGGCATCGTTGACGTGCTAGAAGCAAAAGTGCCAGCGAGCCTCTTGGAAGTTGTGCAAGACTTTGTCCTGACGGGGAGTCCCGGCTTTGTCGAGTGCGAGCGGTCCATTTTCGACGCGTTTGAGGCTGTAGACCGGAAAGAGGAAGAGGCGATGGCGTGTAGAAACAGAAGACAGGTGGTGGATGAGGCGTTACGCGGGGCAGGTGTAGGGTACCCCTTATGGCAGAATCTTCCCAAAGACCTGTCAAACACTCTGAAGGCTCATGTTGAAACAGGGAACCCAAGCCTTGCCGAGTGCAACAGTCTAATCCTGGAAGAGCGCGAGACGATCAAGCAAGAAGAGGAGCGGACCAGAGCTTTGGAACTCAGGATGAAAACAATCTCTGAGGCGTTGCGGCAAGCAGGCTTCGACTCCCAGTACCACCTGGTCCCACACCAGCAGTCGCTGAGGGCGTACATAGACGTGAGTCTCACTGCTTTTGTCAATTCACTCAACAAATGATTGTATATACCGAAGAGAGACCCGTGCTATTACCTCTGCTGATTGCAGCTTGCTTAGTTTGCATTCGCCTCCAAGCTGTTCTGCACGAATCTGAGCATCAAGAGCAGCTGCTGCATGTCTTCTCCAAATCTTGTGGTGCCTTGGTTGAGGCAAGGAGTTGGATGGTTTCAATTTGCTGTTTTCATTCATGCCCTAATGATACGCAATTGATGGTTGACTTTGACGTGCACTCCTTTTCAGGACCCGGGTTCGATTACTGTGGAGGAGGTCGTTGCGCAGCAAAGAGACGTGCGAGTGCAAAGCGGCAACTGTATTGGGGTCACAGACGGCAGACTTTGTGGAAACAAGGCGGCTCTTGCCTGCTCTAACAAACGTTGCGGGAACTGCTGCCGCAAACTTGTAGAACCCTGCCGTACGGCAAAGCATAGGAAGTCCTAGGATAGACTCGATTGAAACCCAATAGGAGGTTCTACTCTGCCAGTCTTTCTCGAAGAGAGTCTTGCTTGGTTGCACTTCATCGACCGACTTACTAGAGCAAGTCAAGTGTGCGGGTGCTTTAAAGTTGTGATGGCAAATCTTGGGCCCATCGTGATTGGCTTGATGTACCGTATATTCGGTCGTCAGTGTATACGCTTTAGACAACTTATGATGCGCCCACCTACCATACAAGGCCGAGGATATAACTTAAGCTCATGGCCTGTCGACGACCTCTGCATGCCTCATCAGTAGCTGCTTTCAGTACGTGAGCTTACGGGCTCAAGTGCATTGCAAATGCACATGACCGTCTTAACACGCATATGTATATATTCTAGATGCCACGATGTGCATTGCATATAACTGCCACTTACATAGAGCTAAGCTACAATTATGCTCGACCGTCATAACATATGTGCAACTTTTGAATTATGCACTGAATGCATTGATTGATGCATATTTACCCACCGCGCTAGACTCGATCACATCCATGCGTATCTCGCGTATGATCTGAGCTTCACCTCACGATGACCTTGCATGCTCCGATGTTAGACATAATAGCATGCAATGCGGTGCATGTCGAGCCTTACATACAAGCACGTAGCCGAGCATGTGCACATGCCCGGCAGCGCCCCTGCCGCTTCCACGATTGTGTCCAAAATAAAGCCAACATAACCACCATTGCAGATAAACTGTGGCCATGAATTAAACCTCAACATTGAGATTGGATGACCGGCGAACTGAAATAATTGGAACGTCAACTAAAGATATTACTAAATAGCACAAGCATTTCATCGTATGTGGGACGCGTCCATTAATTGCAAGCCACTCAACACACTAGAGCCCCAGATTCGCTTGCAACATATAAGATCAAGCTGACCATCTCCCCTTCCTTCTACAATGCGTTGCTCGATTTGGAAGCGGCTGTGACGAATATGAGCTGGAGCAGGTGTGGCCCACCGCCTGCCCCGCACAGCGCGGCTACGTGTCACCCAAAGGATATCAAAGTTGGGCCTTCATTCCAAAGGTGCTGGTACCCTTAGCCTTCTTCATCCTCTGGTTCGAATTAAAGGGACTGGGAGGCTCGTCAATAGTACCCATGTACAAGCAATCCAGCGACGTTCGTCGGCGCCTCCGCTACAGGGTTGCCGTCGAGCTCTTCGACTTGAGCTTTCAGCTTCAGCCAGATTGCGCCTTCCGCGGATAGCCCCCCCGGATCATGAGAGCGGCTATCGCAACGACGATCACCACCACATCTTAGGTGATCTCAACCCAAGTGAACTGTGCTTCGTTCGGTAGTTGGCTGCTATGTTACGCCGCTGCATAACGAAAAACATTTATGGGGTCAGAAGCAATTAAAAGACTTCACACATGGGATTTGTTTGCCTCGTCCTTTACTTGGGTGTTGCACGAAAAAGTCTGAACACAGACTGCGGCAGCGGTGCGGATCCACGAATTGTTCCGAAAATGAATAACCATCACAGTGGCCGCAACAGCTCGAGAGCAACGCACAAAGGCAATTGTCCGGTGACAACCTCCATTTCGATGCTACAGCGATTCGAAGTTGGCATCCTTCTGAAGCCTGATAACAACAATTCAGTCGACGGAATTTGAGTGCAAGGAATCAGCGTTTGAGGACACTTCAAATAATCTATTGCAGCAAACAACTGCGCGTTTCGGTCAGGACTACGGCAAGGGAAACTCGAGCAAGTGCATTGTCAAGAGTCGTGAAAACAGGGATGAGCTTATTCTGACCGGAGGATCTTTCGAGGAAACGGTTCTCAATCGGACGTATTGTAACAGGCTATGCTGGCCAGGGTCCAATCGATGCGCGCTGATTATGATCTCTCTCCCTCGTCTAGAAAATGCATCCGTCAAGCACTTTCAAGCGACTGATCAGGTGATGGGGTGCCTAAGGTAAGAAGCATGCAAGATTTCCTTCCCGTACCTGACCTTTCATCACTTTTGTCCGGACGGCCTCGCCCGAAACTTTGAAGCCCATATAGAATAATCGAATGAAGCTTGCGAAAAGACGCTGATTCAGCATCGAACTGCGAGCTTTCGTGCCTTCAAAAAGCTAAACCATTGGCAAACAAAAGCGAACCCCTGTCCCGCTTATCTTGAAGCGGTCGTATCTCGGGTCCACCATTGAGAACTCTCACGAAGCCCACGATACCTCTTCACACCCCCCCTACGACACGAACAAACCTTCTCCAAAACCCCTCTTACGTTTCAGTAACCCCGTAGAAAGTCTCTCAGCCTGTAAATCAAGATTCCGCAGTGATATTCAGCCCTCGCAGACGTCAACTCCATCCTGAAGAACGCCCCTCAAACCCATCCAAAGCCCCCTCGATAACCCTACAATACCCTGTCAGAACCCTTTCGGACACGTCATGAACCTGCCTAGCCAGTGGGAAACGCGACTTTTTTCCCACCTGTAAATTCCAGCCCTCGTAGACATTCGTGTCCATCCGCGGGTGGTGCGTGCGTGCGCTGATCACGTGCTCCGCCCGGGAATCCAGGACGATGACGTCAGCACGGGAGCCGGGCGCCAAGACGCCTTTCCGGGGTAACAAAATGAAGGCCTGCGCGCTGCGCGACGGGTGAGACGCAGAGCTGTCAGTACCTGTGTCGCTTCGTCTTTTGTATCCTCTTCTCGTGCTTCGGTCTTAACTATTTTCTTGTTGGCCAAATGAAGTTGAGAAGCAACCTACCGCTGACTGCCGAGGAGCTGCAAAGAGAACAGGTGCCAATGCAGGATGCTAGTCGCTGCTGACTTGGGTGGCACCTCACACCGACTCATTCTGAGTTCCGCAAACCCATTCGACTTTGTGATTGGAGCTGCGTCCTGAATGCGATTTAAGGGCGGGAGTCACAACTCTGTATCTTGCGATTATTTTTCGCTTTAAGGTCGATTACTAGGGGAATGACCAGTGACAGGCGTCAGGCGGTCTTAGTGCCGCTTCACTCATCGTCGTTTTGGAAAGCTCCAGCTTGGACAAAAGTGAGTTACGTGGACGTTCTCGTGTCTCATTCCAAGACGTGTGCCTAGATTGCCCCCAAAGTGGGGTTGCTACGAGAATCATGGTCACGTTCTTTCGAGTAAGCAACTCTTGAAGCGCCATGCTTTATTGTGTCGACGTTCCTTTCCGCCCTGCCACAGACGGATGCCTAATGACCGCCAAGACGGCTGTGAACAAACACCAAACTAGCAGTGCGGGCGGATTTCTAAACGGTGCCATGTGGACCCTACATGTCAGACGGACTCAAGACTGACAAGTCAGACAGAATAGGACCTGCAAGTCAGAGGATCAAAATTACAGCGGAATAGTCACAATCGAAGCCCGCATACTCGTTGAAAGGGTTCCCTAGGTCGAAGCCCCGGTTGTTGTACATGCCGTACTCGAAGTCGATCAGAGCTTGCCTGGAACCACAGATTACACGTGCGTCAGAAAGGGTGACCGTTCCGTTGAGGTTATAAGGCGGTTCTGGACCCTAACCCCTTCCGTTCTCAGTACATCTGGTCCTTTCAATCTCTTTTCTCCTTAAATCGACCCGCCAACACCCTCATAAGCCTGATTCAATACTGAGAGCCGGGCCATTTGATCGTAGGCACTAGAAGAAGCGGGGCATATAAAAGGATGGAGCGGATAAAGGTTGCCCTGTCAAACACTAACGCCATCAAAAAACTTAAAAGCAAGCGGCGTGTCTGCTAGGTGGCTCTTCGGCCGTTCACGCAACCTGACAGAGCAGGAATCACCAATCGGAATGCAGAAAGTGGACGGAGTGCAAACTCAGACGCTGGATGAGACTTTCCCGCTGACCTGTCCTAGTGCCGTACGAGTGACCCGTTCAATGAAAAGCTTCTCGTCAACTGCCGCCCAAAACAGCACCAATCTTCAACACATACCAGGGGAACTTAAAGAAGATCGCCCGCTGACCTGTTTTAGTTTTCGCCTGAAAAGTTGCCCGACAGCAGGTCCTCTCGTAAGATGAACTTCTCAGCAGCAGAACTTACCGACTTTCCAGGGACACTTTGGAGGGAAAGAGATTGCTCCGCTGACCTGTTTTTGCTGTCGCACATAAAGTTGTGCGGACAGCAGGTCGTTGTGGCTGAAGACCACCGGCAAGGCGAGCTCGCCGCAGGTCGCTGAAGAATCACTGAAGCAAGGGGGATCGGAGACGAGCGTTAGAAATGAAGAGAATCACTGAAGCAATGGCGAGAGGCTTAAAGACGATTGTCTAGGCGTTCTTGCAATGCCTCATTCCAAATCGAAGGGGCGGCGCGAGATAGGGGTCCCTAAATCTGCGAAGCGAAATGATCGAGGCATCAGAGTCCGGCAGATGGTAGGTTCGAAGTTGAGGCATGTGTTCGCGTCTATAGCACACATCCGTCCAACGCATAAGTACAGCGGATTGGAAAGAGCAGGTCAAAATCCGTAACTTTGTCGCACATACCCGTCAGGCGCGGAAGCACAGAACGGAAGGTCGATGCTTTTTGAGTGCGTAGCACACTTCCGTCGGAATGGTGATCACAGCATTTTAAAAAAAACAGAAGGTCAATAGTGTGTAACTATGTAGCACATTTCCGTTGGAATCCTAAGTACAGCGGATTTGAAACCAGAAGATCGATCTTCGTCACCTAGTAGCACACTTCAGTCGGATTCGTGAGCCCAGCAAATTTGAGCAGCAGGACAATTGACCGCCTCTTTGCCCGCGCCTATTTGTTGCTTGCCTATCCTTTCCCTCTTCCTTCCGTTCCAGATTTGCTCGTCAACCAAAAAATCAGGGATTATGCATCTCCGCACGAGGGATGCTAAGCTCGTCAAAAAATCATGCTTCGGGAGGGCTGCCAACTTGGCAAGTCAAAGAGGAGGACACAAAAGGAGAGAGCGCAGAGTATGACTCGCTCTTACCTTTAACTCTTTGATCTGTCCCTTCAATTTTGCAACGCCTGCGGCTTTGAAAGACGCAAAGCCTGCGGCTTCGAAAGAGGCCTGGTTCCTGGGGTCGTCAAACCGAGACGGTCGCAGCTGAAAACAGGTAGACAGCAGACTAGATCAGCAAATGGGTCCAGGTTTGATTGGAGTCATTGCAACTAGTGCTTTGTTCTAATATTCTGACCAGGATTCGAAGAACCGTAAGGACAATTCGCAAGTTTGGAAAAGACGAAACAGTTCCTGTTATTACGCCCTCGCTACGGTTCTTACTGAGAGCTGCGCGAGTTTCTCAGCTACAGAAGAGAGCATCTATTTCACCTTACGGTTTCAAATGTACACAAAGCCTTTCAACAACTTTCTTTCTGCAACTTCTGCGCCCCGTTGCACTGAAACCAGCGGACCAGATTCTGTTTGCTTCCTAAGTTCTCCTTGAATCATCAAAATGCAGAAAAGAAGCATAAGGGAGATGGGCGCAGCTGACTGGCCCCACTCTCCTTATCTACAAGGCTAGACAGGTCAGACTCAACGCATTTGACAATCCAAGAACGTCTGAAATGATGCTAAGGTCGTACCCCTGTGCCTCTCCGCACTACTTGCGCCCCCCAGCTTGCCACAAAACAAGTATCCATTTCCTCACCCATGTGCTTTTAGAAACTGTAGCTTTCAAAAACAAAGGTCTGAGCTTTTGAAGCGCCCAACTCATCATGAAACCACTCAACAATATCCCATGTCAAATATTCGAGACCTGTAACTCTTGATTGAAGCAAGATTGCCTTACAGGGGCAAAAAGAAGCGACTTGCCGGGTCAACCCCAATGGATCCCGGCCATGAGACCACGATGCGAAGCCCTGCCACTACCCGCAGCAGCTCGGCAATCTGCATCAACCTGAAAGCAGCGGCAAAAGGTCTGATAAGTGCTTCTGAGAAGTAATGCTGGCCGCTGATGCTATAAGCTGCCTCGATATTCAAAAGCCCAATGTTTACTAACTGATGCTTCATGACAGTGCCCCAATCCTGGTCAATTTGTTCCGCACTGATGTTAAGTACGCGGCCCTGCTGCTCATACAATTTACACTGGGGTATACACGATTGCCAAAAGGATCTGACTTATGCATCATTCGCTTCATTGCTGATCCTTGAAAAGACTCCACTAATCACGCTGACACCTGAGAGCTGGGGCAGTAGACGGGCTAAACTGGGAACGACAGGCAGATTGGTCGCTCCATTTCAACTTTCTGCAACAGCGATAACTTTTGACCTTGTAACCGGAGCAGCCAACAAAGTTTGTGCAGCTGGCGGCCCTATTTTATATATATGGAAAGTACAGCAAAGGTTGCACCACCCACCATCGGCCGGGAGTGCTTCAAAGTGCCATGGCATAACGCTCGCCCCTTTTCCTCCTTGCCCTCCTCTCCTGGCAATGTCATTGTGAGAACTAAAGCCCGCTTCTCGTCCTTTCTCTCTGCCGTCCCAAGCTCCAAGCCCTGTCCTAACCTGTTTTGATTCTATCCTTTGCGCTTGTAGCCAGCATTGTTGTTGAAGGGACTGCGAAAAATTGCACCATGCGCTGGCAGCATTCCGGACGGCTTCAACACTTTTGGACGATGTCCTAAGCATGTGACTCGCAGTGTCATTGTGAGCGTGAGTCCTCCAAGACGTGGACTTTGTGCAGCACTGCGGTCACTGCACTTTTGAAAGTTTCGTCCGCAGCTAAGGTAAAGAGATTCGCTAGGCAGGAGAGATGCACACATCTATCGATGCACAGAGCAGAAAAGACGCAAAATGGGTTGAGCAATGCAGCCCTCTTGAGCGCACGAGGGGTCCTCGCAATGCTGCAGCCTTTCAAAGGAGATTAGGTAGATTGACAGAGGCCGTGCCCTTAGCGGTGGTGGAAGCAAATTCGTAGACAACCACCTCCTCTTCTGCCCAGCGACTCGCCCAACGGGCAAGGCTTACTTAGAAGTTGCTCAGGCAAGCTCGCAGAGCAGTCTCAGACGCCCATTGCGTCGGAGCCGGCGGCGGCTGTAGTGGTCAAATGACAGGCATTTCGAACAGCCGCGGATCTTGGCCCCGACCTGCTCCAGCGCATCTTTGTGAAACTGGGGCCGCACCCAAAGGACTTGGTCCCCTTGGGAGCTGTCAGTAAGCAGTGGCGTCAGGTTCTCGATGAAAGCACGTGGAAGGAGCTGTGCTTGAGGTATGCGGGGGGGCTGGTCGAGGACCTGGGGTACGGCCATGGTGCAGACGCCTCCTTCGGCGGAGGATGGGCCGGGTTATATAAATTGTTAGTGTACTGCCCAGGGTGTCACTTCCCGACATTTGAGCCTGTGCTGCAGTCGGACGCTTTGAGTCTGAACTACGAGTGGATGCATGGCAGGGGCCATGTGGAAACAGTTGAAAAGGGGTTTTGTAAGGGGAATGAAACGAACGAGGCCCTGCATCTGGCGACACCAGATGAGATTGTCATCTCGCGCCTGTGCTCACATATCCAGGCGGTAGAAATGTGCGACATACATGACGAGTCGGCTCTTCCGATCCTGGCTTGCAGAGGCTTCGTGAAGCGCTTTGAGGGCTCAGAGCTTGCCAAGATGAGCGGGGCCGCCGCGCTTCTGAACCAGAGGAGGAAAGAATCCAAAGCTGAGGGGGCAGCCAGCTCTGATTCGAAGGAGCCCCAGGAGAAGCCACCGTGTCTTTACTGTGGCAGCCCGACGTTTGCCCTGCCTCGCCAGGCGTTTGACTCCCGCTTCTCAGACTACGACAATATGATGAGGGAGTCTGTCCATGAAGCTTACGAAAAGCTTGAACAGGGCCATTTCACGGATGAGGCGGACGATGACGAAAACGACTCGGTGTTTACTTTAGGGACGGGCTTTGTGTGCCTCACTGGCCACATTGTGCTTGGGATGGCGGGATACCCCAAGCTAGTTGAAAGCGTACTGCCGCAATCTGGAGAGAGTCTGAAGCTTCAGCGTCCGCAAGCGGTGGACTTCTTGCTGAAATTTGTGGTTGGGGGTGACACTCTGGAACGCGAGGAGGGGCACGAATTCGTGCAAGGCTTGGGGTTAGATCAGCTGATTCAGATTGAGGCCCGGCTTGCGCGACTGAAGAAAGTCTGGCCGGTGGAGGAGAATAGGGAGTCTGAAAAGGAGAACGAGGGGCCTGCCGATGCAAACCAGGCCAAAAAAGATCCTGAGAAATCCCTTGAGGACAATGAGGAGATTAGATACAAAACTTTTGGATACATGTATCTGAGAGGCGACTCTCTTGCGGGAATTGTAGATCTGCTAGGAGCAAGCGTGCCAGCCGATCTCTTGAAAGCCTTGCAGGATTTCGTTCTGACAGGGAGTACGAACCTTGCGGAGTGTGAGCGTTTGGTTTTAGAGGAGTTCGAAACCCAGAGGTGCAAGAAGGAGGAGGATAAGGCCCGTAGGTTCAAAAGTGCTGCGGCAGAGGAGGCGTTGCGTGAGGCAGGTTTTAAGCACCCCTTTCTGGATCTTCCAAGCAGCCTTTCGACTATGCTGAAGGCTTTTGTAGAAACGGGTTTTCCAAGCCTTGCAGAGTACGAACGGCTGATTTTGGAAGAGCGCGAAGTGCATCAGCAGCAAGAGGAGCGGAAGAAAGTTTTGGAACTTAGAAAGAACACAGTCTATCTGGCATTGCAGCAGGCTGGCTTTACCCCCCCAATGGTTCCGCACCCGCAGTCGCTGAGTGCTTACATCGGGGTGAGTGTGCCACTCATTCAGAATGTTGTTCTGAGTACCCTGTTTGTCGAACTCGAAGCAAGTAACCTGGTTTCAAACTCGAAGCACAGGCCCGCACTGCTAAACGTGTTGATTGCAGCTTGCTAATTATGCAATTCAAGTTTGCGGTCGCTCTCGAAGTTGTCCTGCTGTTCAGATTGCATCCGAATCATTGCTACCTGCCTATCTTGGTCGTTCAGTGCCTTGCCTGAAGCAAGCATCTGAGTTGTTTGGACCGATGCTTGCTGCTTAACAAAGTAACCCAGCAGTAGTTGTCTATGGCTGACTAGACATGCACGTTTTTGCAGGATTCCAGTGCAATCACTTTGGAGGAGGTCGTTGCGCAGCAAAAGAGCGCGCAAGTGCAGAGCGTAAACGGAGTGGAGCTTGCTGCACCACGAACGAGTGCACAAGAGCAGAGCCACAAATGCGCAGTGGTCACAGACGGCAAAGGCTGTAAGCATCCGGCGGCTAAAGGGTGCTCCAATGGAGGGTGCGGGCCTTGCTGTCGTAAAGCTGCGGAACCCTGCCGGTTAGGAAAGCACAGGAAGACCTAGGGTGAACTTCCTCATTTGCGCATCCTCTTGATAAGGGAATCCTCTAACCGTTTTTCATCAATTGACAGACCTGCCACAGGCTTCCCCTGATCAAAGGAGTTATCGTTTGGCCGAAAACTTGACGTACTCGGGCCCCGACTTAAGTCAAGTGAACGGTTCTAATACCTCGATTGAGATGTAGACGGTATGCCGATCAAAAGCTGGTCCATTGACAGACGGTCACACAGCGACTGTACATGTATCATGATTACATTTGAAGCGCTTGTGCAAGTGAACTAGCATGCTGTGATTCACACCATATAACTCAGGGCCGTCCTTGTGGATATCTTAAAGCCTGGGCCGCGCGGCGGTCCTTTGGCACATATGTGTGCCAGCACCGTGACATGTACCATGAGCGGACGTGCGACGCGTGCCAATTATGATGCTCAAATATCTCGCGCGCTAGCTCGACAATTCATAAAATTGTAGTGCCGATTTGTCAAAACCTTATAATGATGTGAATGATCGATCACTAGCTGGCTACACATGGTTACTAGAGCGCTCGATCGTAGTATATAAGTGCTCAGATCGTCAGTATGAATACTATGCTACGTATATATTATACAGCCATATAGCTATACTGCCGCAATTGCAGAGGTGCTTCCAATTGCATACTGCAGCCACATCCGACCGACCGTGAAGTATGATCACTCATTCACTGCCCTGCAGGGCATTGCATGCCTTATACCAACTTTAGGCGCGGCGGTATAGGTGGACTGCACTCATGTGCATAGTCGCACCGGTGGTCACTTACCGAAGGATGAAGATGCAATATTGTGGATTCACCATCCAAACCTCTTGACAATATGCGCGCATTCATTGGAAATTACATGGTGACTCGTCCAGCATCCAGTCGCGAGCCAGTCGAAAGAAGAGCCTTCAGGTTTGCTTGCGGCGGATACAAACGTCGGGCCTTCGCTACAAAGCTACAAAGAAGCTGGTGCCCTTCGCTTTCCTTATCCCCCGATCCAAAAGGGAGGGAATGGGGGGCCCGTCCTTTCATCCTATGTACAGGCAATCCAACGACGTTTGGCAACGCCTCCCCTACCGGGTGGGCCGTCGGGCTCAGCCTCCGCGAGAGCGCGCCTCCCGTAAACAGCCCCCCCGATTACGAGAGCTATTGCCACGATAATACCCCCGACGTTGAAGGTGATCTCGACCCAGGTGATCTTAGGCTTCCCTCTGTGCTATGTCCCGCCAAAGAAAGCCACTGCAGAACCGACGAGGAATTAAACGCCGCCACGAATACAGCGTCAAGGACCTGCCGGCCTCGTTTTAGTATGCCTGGAAATGTTGCAAAAATCTGCAGGATATGGACATCCGCAACAGTGCGCAGGCGCACCAAACGCGACCTCGCAAGATACCCTACAGCCAAAGGAAAATCTCTCACGACATCCGTCCCAATCCTCCCCCCCGGACGATCCTACAGAGGCCTGAAAGAGACGGCCCGACCTCCTTCGCTGCCATCTCAACCACGCAAAGTCCAATCTTCGAAGAAGCTCAGCAAACCCTGATCCTGGATTCGTTGAGCAGAGGGAAAAACGAAGGCGCCAGAACAGATCACATATGCGAAAAAGACACGGATTTGAAGCAGGTGGGGCGCCCATCGAACTTACTCAAAGGAAACACGAAAGACGAACTGAAACACACGATGACGCCAACATCAATGTCGCCGGATTTAGAGTCTAGGCCATCAGCCGAGGGCCACATGTGACGTCCGCTCAAGGAAAGTTCACTTGCCGTCTTTGGGAAGAGGACGGCAGATCTCGGTGCGACAAGAAAGATTCCCTTTCAGCCATCCCTATTAGTTCTGATGAACCTCACAACGGTCACAGGTAGAGGCAAGACAGCTTTGTACCCAGCACGTGTTGACATGAAACAAGAATAGAACCGAATGACCGCGCCTTCACCTGTAGAGGGCCACGAAGATCTTCGGAAAATGCCTACGAGGGAGCTGGTGATGTAGGGCAGGTACTGGATCTTGGTCGTCGTGACCATTTAGTTGAAAATCGGGTAAGGCGGGAACGGTGACAGCCGGACGAGCGCGGCGACGCGGTACTGGCCCCAGGACCCGCTCTGCGAGCGCAGACGGAGAATCGTAATGAGTCTCAAGAAAGAATATAATTTGCCAAGGTAAATAAAAAGCCTCGACTAACACCAATATTTTCAACCTGCAAACTCATCTGCTCCGCACCTGTGGTCAGCCTATCAGTTAAAATCCCCAAAGTCTACCCGTCTCAGTGCATTGACCTTGTCATATCTTAACGTAATAGTATCTTACTTCAGATTGGTAGAAGTGAGCATTTTGGAGCCACTTGCTTCTTTACAGACCCATCAATCCCAGTCTAACGAGACCGGAATTGGGCACAAAGCGCCACTGTTATGCGGGCCCTCAAAGGAAGCTGTTCGAAGAGGCTTCTTTTGAGGGTTGCACTCGGACATGAGCAGTCGACAAACTTCTGAACAGATCGGAGAGAAAGTAGCGTGTGTTTTGTGTCGCATTATGAGTATCGGAAGATTGAAGTGTCACTCTTCAAAGTGCCCTTTGACATCTCTATCAAAGCACGAGTCCGCATCAGAACGTGTTCACCGGCTAAATTCGGCACTTAGGCAGGAAGCATCTCTGAATGTGATCGCCAATCCGCTTCTACCACTCACCTGGTTGCAAGAATTTCGGCTTCGACACTAGCCACTTATGCACCCAGTCACTGGTGGAGAGCGCCGCCCAATGAAGTAGAACGCCGGCATTCCCAGCCCCATGTCAACCTGTGTCAGAACATAACCCCAAGCATACCTGAGGGGCTCGACGGCGGATGAAAGATTGAAGAGATAGCGAGGCAGAAGTCTATGACAAAGATCAGCAGCGGCTTATTGACAGTGATAACGGCCCACTCTCAAGGACAGGAATGACGGCCTGTAAGAACGGGTGTGACGATTTTGGTGGAGAGCTATGCGCTGACACTGAGTTATACTGCTTCAAATTCGCTGGAGTAGGAACGCAAGGTAAAGTTCAGGGCGATTGAGTGCAAAAAAGCGACCTGCGAGTTTGGAATGAACTTGATTGACAAGGTTGTATATTATCTGTCTCAAAACGCGAACCGTGCTTGTAACAGTCTTTCTGAAAAGGGAAGTAAGCGGCTCAGTCTAAGTGCAGTCAACGGACATCAAGCTTGCCAAGCTCGCCATGGTTAAGCCAACGACGAGACTCTAGTCCTCCAAGTCAATCACACCAGTTCTAAACTGATCTTGTTACGGAAGGCATCGTCAAGCACAGAGAAAGCTTGAGGGCAATGATCGCACTTGTATGGCCCACACTATCCTCCTCTGAGAAACTAGACATGTCAGTTACGCACTTTATCTGGACGCTACAAGAAAATCAACCCTGTAACACTGTTTCTAAGCACCCCCAACTCATCCTGACTTGATCCACCCTAATGCTCACCTCAATGCCTTCAGATCTATTATAGACCTTGATCAGAACAAAGATGCTTTGAAGGGGCAGAAGCAAGCGGCTTGCCTGGTCAATGAGGATGGAACCCAGCCCCAAGACTGCTATGCCCAGCGCCACCACCAGCTACTAGGCCCGGCAAGGAGCAGTCCGGATCCACCTAAAAATAGTGGCAGACAGTCTGACTGTGTGCTTTTGAAGTATAAGAATCCCTGCTGACGAGAAGCTGACTCCCATTCAAATAGCTAGCGTTAGTGACCAACACGTCAAAGGAGAGCGGCTCAGTACGTTCCTGCTGATGACAAGTGTGCAGCCCTGATGAGAGATGGTTTGCAGCTAGGCTACAAAAAGCTGGCCAAAACAATGAAGATGCGTCACTCGCTTCATTGCCAATCCTTGCAACAGCACCGAGGATCAGTCTGAAACATGACAGCTTGGGCAGTAGACTGTCTAAAAACAGAGAGGCAGATTGGTCGTTTCATATCCAACTTCTGACAGCGCCAGCTCTTGACATAACCTGGTCGGAGCAGCCAACAAAGTTCGTGCAGCTGACAGCCCCAGTCATTCGTATGGAAAGTACAGCGAGATTGCACCACCCACCATCGGTCCCGGAAGTGCTTCAAAGTGCCCCGCACAACACTTGCCCCTTCTCCTCCTTGCCCACCTCCCCTGGCAATGTCACTGTGAGCTCAAAGTCCGCTTCTCGTCCCAAGCTCCAAACTCCGTTCTAACCTGTTTGATTCTACCCTTGCGCTTGTAGCCGGCACTGTTATCCTTCTCCCCCCGTATATGAGCTGCTCTGCTGAATATATGGGCCTCCGCGACGGCCTGCCTGCTACCTCTCCCGCCAGGCAAGAGCGCCTGACTTCTACAGCTCAGTGAAGGGGAAAAGGTCTTGAGCAATGCGGTCTGCCCCGCATTGCACACTGCCACATTCTGCAGGTGGCCATGGTTTCTGACCCTAGTGCTGACTACAAGACACAGTAGTCTCTTGTGAACTGCATTATGCGTGCAACTTCTGATAAAAATGAAAGCAGATGTTGTGGCCCATGGAATGATGAAGCAGGTTGTGCTAAAGACCCAGACCCCTCAGGAGCCGCTGTCGCTGGTGGATAACTCTACCGTTGTGTAAATACCGTCTTGCACGTGCGGCTCATCAGCTGGAACTCGCAGACTAGCGTACGCCTCTAGGGCAGAGGTGGATAACTCTACCTTTCACAGTTTCTCCAGGAAAGTCGCTCAACGATACAGTCTTACAGAAAACGAAAGCGCACCTTGGTTCCTGCTGCAGAACCTGCATTCGCTGCCAGATTCAGCATTTTGAAGAATTTCGGACAGATTCAACACAATTTAAGTTTCGGCCATCTTCAAGTTCTACAGAGTCAGTTCGATTCAATGTAATAGTATTACAGTTAAACTGAACGTCCGCTACTGATGTTCTCTTCTCATAAGCCCGTACTGATCGTTTTTGTCCAATGGGAGGTCCGTTTATGTGGGAGTTCGAAAGTCTCTGAGCCGCACCCCGCCTGAGGAGAGCAGCCAGAATCTTTTGAGCAATGAAGCGCGCTTGAGCCCACAAGAGGGTCCTCATAATGCTGCAGAGGTTGCGCACCGCTTGAACACTTTGAGAGGTGATTCAAAAGTTAGCCGCAGGCCAATGGCGAGGACCAAGCAAACTGCCAGGAAGTGCAGTGGTGGCGGAAGCAGGTTCCGGAAAGAAACCCCTCGTGTGGCCAGCGATACACGTCCCACAGGCAAGGCGTACTTGGAAGCGCTGAAGCAGCTTGCAGCAAAGTCTCAAAGTCCCCTTCCCACCGAGCAGGCGGCTGCTGAAATATGTGGGGCACCAAAGCAGAGCATTTCAGAGACCCGCACCGCCCTGCCTGATTTGGGCCCAGACCTGCTGCAGCGCATCTTTGCAAAACTGGGGCCGCACCCAAAGGACTTGGTCCCCTTGGGAGCTGTCAGTAAGCAGTGGCGTCAGGTCTTGAACGAAAGCACGTGGAAGGAGCTGTGCTTGAAGCATGCGGGGGGGTTGGTTGAGGAGCTTGGGTACAGCCACGGGGCGGATGGGCCCCCCGGAGGCTGGGCTGGGTTGTACAAACTAATAATATGCTGCCCAGGGTGTCACTTCCCAACCTTTGAGCATGTGCTGCAGGCAAACGCTTTGAGTGAGAACTATGACTGGAGGCATGGCCGGGGCCACGTGCAAGCAGCAACGAAGGGTTTTTTTAAGGGGAAGGAAGCGAAGGAGGCCCTGTACCTGGCAACCTCAGATGAGATCGTGATCTCGTGCCTGTGCTCTCATGGCCAGGCGGTCGAGATGTGTGACATACATGAGGCTTCGGCTCCTCCAATCCTGGCTTGCAGAGGCATCGTCAAGAGCTTCGAGAGCTCAAAGCTTGCTGAATGGAGCGGAGCTGCTGCATTTGCAAACCAGAAGGGCGAGGCAGCGGGGATAGCAGGGGAGCCTGTAGACTCCTCGAGCACGCAGAATGAAGTGGTGGAAGCGGCGGGTGCTTCTGACGGGGAACCGTCTGGCGGCGAGATGGGGGAAGAGGCGGACTTGGACGAGGAAGCTGCCTCTGAGTCCGAAGACTTTGAAGCTTACCCCTCGGGTAGTGAGGGCGAAGGCTCCGAGGGGGAAGTGAGCTCTGATACAGAGGAGCCCGAGGAAAAGCGGCCGCCCTGTGCTTACTGCGGCAGCCCAACGTTCGCCCTGCCTCCTAAGGCCTTCAATTCTCAGTTCTCGGATTACGATGATCTGCTGTCGGAGTCCTTCTGTGACGCTTACGACAGGCATGAGCAGGCCCGGTCAATGTATGAGTCGGACGACTCGGAAGCGTCGAATAACGACTCCATGTTTGTGCTGGGAACAGGGTTCGTGTGCCTCGAAGGCCACATCGTGCTAGGGGTGGCTGGTTACCCCAAGTTGGACGAGGTTGCGGTGGTGGACTCTGGAGAAAGTCTGGAGCTCCAGCGGCCGCAAGTGGTGGACTTCTTACTCAAGTTCGTGGTTGGGGGCAAGACCTTGAGCCGGAAGCAGGGGCATCGATTCATTCGAGGCCTGTTGTTAGATCAGCTGATCCAGATTGAAGTGAGGCTTGTGCAGCTGGCAAAGATCTGGCCGGCGAAGGAGAAAGAGGGGTGTGACAAGGCGAATGAAGAGTCTGATGGGGCAGATGGGGAGTCTAGTGAGGTCATTAAGGAGCCTGATGAGGAGACTGAGGGAGTCAATCAAGAGAAAGAGTCCAAGGATTACAAACTTTTTGGATACATGTATAAGAGAGGCAACGATCCTGTGGGCATAGTCGACGTGCTCGGAGCGGGCGTGCCAGCCGATCTTTTAGAAGGCCTGCAAGCTTTCGTTTTGACAGGAGATCCAGGCCTTGCGGAGTGTGAGCAACCGATTTTGGGGGCGTTTGAGACTCAGGCGCGAAGAAAGGAGGAGGCGGTCGCCCGGAAGATCAGAAGTGATGCAATGGACAAGGCGATGCGCGGGGCAGGTTTCAAGCAACCCTTCTTTCGGGGCCTACCCAGCGACCTCTCGAAAACGCTAAAGGCTTTTATCGAAATGGGGGACCCGAGCCTGGCAGAGTGCGAACGTCTGATCCTGGAAGAGCGCGAGTCGCGCGAGCAGGCAAAGGCTTCGGAGTTGAGAAAGAACACAATCTATCAGGCGCTGCGGCAGGCAGGCTTCCACCCCCCTTCTGTTCCGCACCTGCAGTCGCTGTGCGCTTACATACAAGTGAGTCGTCACCCCTCTCGTAGATTTACCAGTTGTTGATAGTGAAGCAGAGGTACGGAATGCTAAACTTTCTTATTGCTAGTTGGTGATAACGCATCTCATGTTTGCAGTCCCTCTCCAGGTTTTTCGATGTTAGTTTTGTGCAACAGAGCAATCGCTGCATGCCTTACTAGTAGTGTTCTAAGTGTCTTGTCTGTAGCAAGGCTTTGAGCGTTCGGACTGTTGATGTCCAAGATGATAAAAAAGGTGTTAACTTGGTGGTACGCCGTCGAGGTCTTTGGCTGACACTGTATGCACTCTCGTCCAGGACCCCGGTGCAATCACTTTCGAGGAGGTAATCGCACAACAAAGGAGCGCGCGAGTGCAAAACGTCGTAAGCAGAGTGGAGGTTGCCGCGCCGCGAACGAGTGCACAAGAGCAGAGCCACAAATGCGAAGTGGTCACAGACGGCAAAAGTTGTACGAATCAGGCGGCTAAAGGGTGCTCCAATGATGGGTGCGGGCCTTGCTGCCGGAAAGCTGCAGGACCCTGCCGTCTAGGAAAGCACAGAAAGACCTAGTGTGAACACGCTGGAAAATGAATAGACATTCCTCTAACCGTGCTTCATGGATGGACAGACCTGCCACAGACTTCCTTGATTACACAAGAGTCATCTCTTGGCGGAATCCTTGACTTGGGCCTCGACCTGGCTTGAGTGAACGGTTCTTAAATACCGAGATACAGACGGTATGCCAGTCACTACATAGAGATCGTCAGACAATCAGCGACTGTACATGTATGAAAGTATGTTTGGAGCGCCTGCATATACGAGTCTTATTTCAGCACATGCTATGGTTCTCCTAAATGCAGTCCTTATATATAGTATGTATACGATCTTCTGATCGCTATGATTCCTCATATAACCTGGGGGTCGTACATGTGTGTGTGCACATGTGCACATACTGAGCATGCGGCCGCTAGGCCATGGCACATGTGCGCTTAAGCATACTCTTCAAGCCAGCTATCATACAGCTAGCTTCAGCATGCTCCGAATTGTAGTGCGAAGTTCAATTAATCATCAACTGTGAACGTGTTAGTATATATGTAGGCTGCATATCGCTTGCAATTCCTACATCATAGCCATGGCTATAGGCCGCGCTTGCATGCCGACCAGGAGACTAGGGTGTTTCCGATTATACCGTAATCTATAATTGAAAGTTCAATCGATGCGTGCAAGGCACAGACTTGTTTACACCAGCTTTACTTGAAGGCGCGACAGTTTAGGTGGGCTGCACTTATGCATGGTCGCGGGTTGTCAGATGCCGAAGGATGGAAATGCAATGTTGCAGATTTCCCATCAACAACCTCTCCATAGTATGCGTGCATTAAAATCACGTAGTATCTCGTTCAGCATCCAATTGCGAGCCAGTTAACATAGTAGAGCCTTCAGGTTTGCTTGCGGCAGATACTAACGTCGGACCTTCGCTGCAAAGAAGCTGGTGCCCTTCGCTCTCCTCATCCCCGGATCCAAAAGAGAGGGACTGGGAGGCCCGTCTGTTCATACTATGTACAGGAGATCCAACGACGTTTGGCAACGCCTCCCCTACCGGGTTGCCGTCGAGCTCTTCTGAGTTTTCAGCCTCCGCGAGAACGCGCCTCCCGTAAACAGCCCCCCCGATTACGAGAGCTATTGCCACGACAATACCCACGACGTCGAAGGTAATCTCGACCCAGGTGATCTTGTGCTTCCCTCGGTGGTAGTCTGCTATGTCCCGCAAAAGAATGCCGCTGCATAACCGACGAGGGATATCATTGTAAGCGGCAGAAAGGAATCAACGTTAAGGATCTGTCGGCCTCGATTTAACGAGTCTGAAAATGTTGCAAAACACCTGCTAGTTGGTTCGCAGGCAGATCCACCAGCCTCGTAAGGTCCCATACAACTCAAGGGGAAGTGCCTTAGGAAGACCGGTCCGTGCCTCCTCCCGGACGGTTTTTCAGAGGCCTACGAGGGACGGCCCAATCTACTTAGCTTCCAGACTCTCAACCGTGCAGAATCCTCGAAGAAGCTGAGCAAATCCCGATCCTGGATTCGTTGGCCAAAGCAAACTAAAAGACGAAGGCGCCCGAAGAAAACAAATATGCGGATAAAGACACATATTCTGAAGCAGATTTGGCGCCCGATGAACGCACTAAACGGAATCATGAGCGTTCATCAGCCGAGAGTCATACTTTTCCGAGAAGGAAGTAAGCGAGAAGGATGAGACAGACTAGGACACCAAGACCAACATCGCCGGATGCACATCTGAAGAGGCAAATGTGAATTCCGCATCAAAAGAGGTCCAATTGCCTTCAAACGGTGGCAATCTGTTTCGTAAGAATGCCTATCAGCGGAACAGAACCGTTTCTGACCGAACCTCACAAGTAGTCACAGGTAGATGCAAGACGTGCGTTTAAGCAGCACGTGTCAAACATGGTTTTTGGAAAAGCAAATGACCGTGCCTAACCTGTACAGCGCCACGAAAATCTCTGGAAAGATGCCTGTGAGGGAGCCGGTGATGTAGGGCAGGTACTGGATCTTGGTCATCGTGACCGCGTAGTTGAAGATGGGGTAAGGCGGAAAGGGCGACAGCCGGAAAAGCGCAGCGACGCGGAACTGGCCCCAGAAACCGCTCTGCAGAGGAGAACGGAGGAATGAGCACAAAAGGTTCGCTGCTGCATTTATGCCAATCATCGAAGCATGCGCTGGCGAGCCTTCTCTCTTCGCGCACCGCGGTGCCTCCAAAGACGTTCGCCTTGTACGAGATGATTCGGAAGCATTACGATGATAGAACACCAAGGGTCAGGAAGGAGCAGTCAATTCGAGTCATGTCAGAGTTGCAAACATCAAGTATGACCCGACCTACAACGGGAAAAGGATCGTCACAGGCCCACTTTCGAAGATGTGTTTGAATAGCATCGATGAACTGCGCTTCATCGGACATCTTCAATATTCTAGGAAGTTTCTGGCCAGCCAGTGGGGGTGATCGGGCTCTGCTGGTATCTTCGCCTTCGATCCATCCATCAACACCGCTTCGCTTTTCTCACTCACCTGGTTTGCCGCCCGCAGCAGCGCCACGTATCTCGGCTTCGAGTTGATCCACGTTTGCACCCGGTCGTGCAGTAATCGCCGCCCGATGAAGTAGGTTGCGGACATTCCCAGCGCCATGCCAAATAACGTCAGGACGTAACCCCAAGCGTACCCAAACGAGATGCCAGCTAGCCAGATGAGGGGGCTCGACGGGACGAGGAAGATCGGAAAGACGGCGAGGGAGATGACTATGACAAAGATCAGGAGCGGCTTGCTCAGGGTGGTGTCCGCCCATTCGAGCGCGGGGATGACAGCCTGTAAGAAACGGACAGAAGATTCTGTAAGCAGGACCAATCAGGTGGAGTCTTCTGAGATCAAATCAGAGGAAAGGACCCGATCGCAAATCGCTCCAGAAATGGTGAAGGATTGGAGGGCAACAGAGAGTCTAAGAATTAATCAAACTCGAGGAACAAGTCTGTTGCATACAGCCTGCCCTGGTCAGCGAATCTGTGTTTGCTGCAACAGACATAGATGAATGGAGCCACGTGCTTAATCTGCAGTACTCGCCACAACCAAACCAGCGAACGTTGCCCAGTCTTCCAAGTCAATCAGAAAGCTACCGTTTAGGCTAGACAGCTTCGACAGAGACGAGAGTCGATTGACGTGAAAGTCGATTGACGCGAAGTCTTTGAAAGTGTCGTTCTGCAACTTTTGTAGTCTATACAGAGACCCGCAGACACTTTCTAACCCTCCTGATCTTCCATCGAGTGCAGTCCCACACGGAGAAGATGCTCGAGGGCAATGTTTGAAGCCATCTTGCCCGCTGACCCTTCCGAGGGACTAAACAATACAGTCCAAACGACATTCATTCAACAACATAATAGATGGGAAGCTGCTAAGACTGTAAGCGGACCCTGCGCTTGTGGCATTCTTCGGCTCATTGATCGAGCCAGCATAACGTCTCACCACTCCAACTTAAGACCTGTGACTCTTGATCGAGATGGATTCACTCTGCAGGGGGGAAAGGAAGCGACATACCTTGTCAATCACTATGGGACCCAGCCACGAGACTGCGATGCCCAGCGCAACCACCAGCCCCAGGAGAGTAGCAATCTGCACCCACCTAATAAGAACAGCAAACAGTTTGGTTAGTCCCTGTAAGAATCAGGTGATGGCCGCCGATATCATAAGCCAACTCGTCCTTCAAAACAGCCAGCGTTCCCTGATCGAGAAGTCAAAGGACCTGGCCCAGTCACAGTCAATAGAGTCCATATGGTGGACAAAGGGGCTGTTTGAGTGAATTTATGGCTTGCAGGTGGGCCAGAAATGTTGCCCAAGAAGTACAGATGTGAATGTACGCTCAAAACCCGTTCTTATGACAGCACCACTGTTGACTAACACCTGACAGCTGGGGCAGAAGAGTGGCTAAGTAGAAAGAATGACAGTCGCTCATATTCAACTTCCTGCGACACGCGCCAACCGCTGACTCGGTAGCTGGGGCAGACAATTAACTGCCTTGATTGTGATCAACAATGCCACCCCCAACTCATCAATCTTGAACCTGCAATCGAAACCGCGAAACTGGCGGGCAAATCGAATGATAGTCAAACAGTCCGAGCCTCGCTTACCTCCAGGTACTCCGCCACCACGGCCGCTTGCTCCGCAGCAGCCACGTATCATCGACCTCCCCATCATGGTCGCTCAGATACTCATGCTCTGAGTGTCGTGCTTCGCTGTGGGAGCTTCGGATGCTGTCAACTCTTGCCATAGGCGCTCCCCCTCCCACAGGGGCTTCCCCTCTCATGGGAGCTTCCCTTGGCTCTCTGCTCATTTGAGACTGATTGGCAGCCCTCTCCTGCTGCTGAGACTCTTGTACAAGGGCGTGGAGGTCGATGCTTGTGTAGTCGAGTGGGTGGGAAGGCTCCCGAGTCTGGCTGAAAGGGAGGGCCATCCGTATGTCCATGGCAGTGGTTGGCCGGCCCTTGCCTTCTGTTGAGCAGCCCTTCCGTTGTTGTGAGCTTTGATCTTTCAAGGAAGTAGCTATGGAGTCTGGGTCAGCACGATGGTCCTACATTACTTGCTGAGCACTGCATGAGGTGGGGGACCCCTTGACCAGCTCACAGATGACCGAAACATACTGCTTCCTTCTTGACAAGAACCAATCTAGGGAAGCCAGTGAAGTCACAAAATCGCTCAGCTGCAAAAAAGTCTCTGCAATCGTACAAGGAAGAATTGATTTGCAAGGTTGGGGCGGATTCTTGGAGAGGTCAACGAGATCGCTGCGAGAGCCCCTTCTCTGCGATAGCCGACACGGAGTGCCAAAAGAAGAGATGCCTTTCATTCAGCTCCTGATGGCGATGGGCCAATGTGATGAGAATGCTATTATCAGAACGAAGGAGCTCGGCAGCTGCCACCTGCTTGCTGACCCCGTTCTGGCATTCCGCTCCAATTTCAAAGATTTACAATTTGTCAATTTGCCATGCTCGCTTTTTCAGCAGGCTTGTTCGGGAACAGAGGATGAGCTACTCAGCCGCTGGATACGGGTGAAAATGCAGATACAACCGTCGATCGTTAATAAACCCTTGCCGACATGAAGACCCTTAAATCGACTGACCTTCCTCAGACCAATGAGCCCTTGGTAGCTACCTAGGTACAGGATTAGGGTTTGCAAATTGCAGGACGTTGAAAATTTCCTCAGGCTTCAGAAGGAGCAGGGAAAATGGCGGCCAGCATGCAGCTCCTCACCAGGCAGCTTCAGCCTTCCTTACGCTGTCCCAGCTGCGGCAGTGGCCCTCAGGCTTCTGCAGGGGCCGCAGCGCCGCCGTTTGCAGCTTTTCAAGGAAATCGGCAGCCCCGCAGATCTGGTCAAGTTCTGCAGAAGTGGCGGGAGTATGCTTCCTGCCGTTCAATCGGAGGGAAAGCAGTTTCGCTGCAAAGCAGCAATGCTGCGAGGGGTCCGGTGGGCCAAAGAACAGGAGCGGCCAGGGCAGTGGCGTCAGAAGGAGACTCACGCCCCATTTATCAGGGGATGTATGGGCCGTGGTCCGTAGATGAAGCAGATGAACGGGAGGTGAGTGGTTCTTAAGGCTCAGCCCTGTTTCTACGTTTCTGTGGGAGTCTTACGATTTGCCCCGTCATTGTGCAGATTGGTCTCCTACTCTCTGGTTTGAGTCAGCAGTCCACAGACATTCCACAGATTGGGCTGTTGGAAGTCAGCAGCGAAAGAGAATGATCAGTCAATCATCACTTACCCCGCCCTCCTTAGAATTTATCCTCCCATTCTTCCTTTCCTGATCTTTATCAGCTTTGGCAGGAATGCAGCATTCCCTATATTCAGATTGGAGGAGAGAACCGCCACCTTCCAGCTTTTTGCAACACTTTCATTAACAAAACTTAAGAAGGGGCATCAGCTCATTATGACGACCACTCCAACCCAAAGCCGGGTAACTCTCTAAGCACAACGACACATACTTTAATCATGCCCGCTTATATTTACCCCCGCCCCCCCCTTCTTTACCCCCAGGTGTTCCTCTACCGAGCGGGCATCGTGACCTCTGCTGCCTGCTTCACACTCGGCGCCCTCGCTGCCTTCGTTCCCTCCGACAGCCCCCTCTCCCCCGCACTCCGCTCCCTTCTCGACCCGCTCGCAGTGGTCGGCGCCGGGTCGCTCGGGCTGTCACTTGTGCTGGTGCACATGTACGTTACGCCCATCAAGCGCTTCATGCAGGTAGGCTTCTGCAACTGTGAAGTCTGTTCTTAGTGTCTAGAACTCAAATGTTCTTAGGTACATAGGTTTGTCCAAGTGTTTGCTTGCTTGGGAATCGATCAAGGAAGCTCGTCCAAAGGTAGGAATGTGATAGTGTCTATTGGTGGCATCTATGTCAGGTCGACTGACCGCTGTGGGTGGCAGTTGGAAATACCAGAGCAGAAAGTGTCTTTCATCCTGCATGTGTATGGCAGACACGAATATGCATACCGACCATTTGAATGCCTTATTCTCTGGTCGTGTTTTCTGGCTTTCAATTGTCACGTCCATCAAACTCACGCACTCCGACTCCTGCGCTGTTGTCTTTGTTTGCTCGCAGCTACTCGGAATCTGTACGATCTCTTCCCTCCACCAACAATTGGTCATCAGACATCCAACTCCTCCCAAGATGCCCTGTAAAATGAAAACTATTCAAGTATTTCCCTTCAGTCTCCCTCCGATCTTGGGTATCTCTTCCGCAACCACCTTGAGATGCCCAACCGTCTCTCAAACCCCCCCGGGTCCTATTTCAGGCTCTCTGGGCCGTTGGTGTTTTCGGGTCAGTGCTGACAGCGCTCAACTTTGCGGCGCCCGAGGGGACCCCCCTCGCCGTTTATGTTGCGGAGCACCGAGGGGCGGTGTGGGCTGTGGGACCGCTCTTTGCGTCGCTGACAGGGCTGGCATTCAAGGAAGGTGCGCATACTCTTTTCCTTGCCGCAAGGAAAGTCCGTTTCCAAGTTTATGCCGTACGATTTGGACATTGCTTCATTGCAGCTAAAGGGACAAAGAACCATTGGCGGTTACTGGGTGTACATGCTTGAAGGAAGGGCAACTAGGGCCTTGAAAAGCTACGGAAGTCAGAACGCTTTCGAGTAGCAAAATGGTTCTTTGGCAAAACATCAGACGACCGCAGAAGGAATGCTGTCGGCTGGGACGCCCCTTCTTGTCTTCGGTCGTTCTGATGATGAAACAATCTACCGCCTGCACATGTTCGTGAGAAAACAAGAAGGCAGGATAACGTCGGCCGATGACCGGTGTAGAAGTCGGTGTAGATGACCGGTGGGAATACCTTGAATCCGCTGAGCATGTTTGCTGGAGGTTTGTGGCGATCAACAACCGCACGGTTTTATCAAGTAGATTTCTGTCATTTCAACTCAAGTTTCTATTCTTTTCGGATTCGAAGCTTTCACTTGGACGTAGTGGAAGCAGGGCACTCTGACCACTCTTGCCCAGTCTGACCACTCTTGCCCTGTCTTGCGTCTGCAGGCCTGTGCTATGGGAAACTAGAGGCGGCGCTCATGTTCCTGGTCATTCCAGCAACGCTGCTGGGCCATCTGGTGAGCGGTGTTTTGGACCTAAATTTGGGAAACAAACAGGCAAATAGAGAATCAAGATAACAGGATCATGATTTTGTGCACCTGGATCTTTTACTGATCGTCTTGCATGCCGCCACCCATGGTCGACGCGTAACGAGCTTTGGGCACAAAGTTTGGCGCAGATCAGGGAATCGGACGGTCCAGATCACATGAAGCAGGTTCGAGATGGCACCTTATGCAAACATCTGTAGTTGGTTCCGGAGTTCCCAGGGCTTCGCTTCATCCGCTCATCTTTGCCCTCGTTACCATGTCCGCCAGGCTGGGGCCGACTCCAATGTCGAGCTTGGTCTGCTGGCGGTGTGGACGGCCCTGTATGTGGTATTCGCGAGCAGGAAGTTCACGCAGGCTGTCAAGGTAAGCAGGAGCCAGATTTCACGATTTCTTCCGGCTGTGAACATGCAAGGTTCTTTTGCCAATTCCCCCTCTTATTTGGGCCAAGCTCTATTCCGTTGTACCGCGAAGTTTGCACTCTCTCAGATTCAAGAAGTCCGCATATGGCACAGCATGCACGAACGGTATTTAACCTTGCTTATTCGCTTGGCAAACCGGGCTTTATGAGGTCAGCACCATATGTCGACGAAGAGGAAGTCGACGAGCATTGTGGTTGCACTCAGCGCTTTGGTTCATTGCAGGATGACATCGGAGATAAGTCCGTCTTCATGTTCAACGATTTGTCAGAGGCCGAGAAGGAGAAGAGGCTTGCAGCGTTGGAGCAACAACGTGGGGGCTTGTAGCCACTTTGGGTCTACTTTGAGTTAAGCTTGAGCGGACGACTTTTGAGTATATGAGAAAGCAAGTCAGCAGGTTTGTCTTCTCACGCAGCCCGCCATGACATATAGGCTGTACCATACAGGAGCTCCGTCGACAACATTGTTTTGAAATTGTTGGGTTTTGTTTGCAGAGAGTATTTCAAGATTTGGAAGCACTCATGCTGTCTTGGTACATCCCTTGCAAGATATGTGCCTCATGTAACATGCATCATTCAATTGTGCCTTGATGATAATCAACAACGACCAGCAGTTCAACGGTTGTGTTCGGCCGCATCCATGCATGCACTGAGCCTTAGTACGCACTGAAGCGCATATACCGCCGTGATGAACCTACCGTCAGCCTCGGCTATACTATAGGGCTGAGCAGCAAGCTGCCGCTCATGATGTGGAGTCGGATGTATGAAGTGGTGGCACTTAAACTTGCTCAGCTGGCATGGCGCCATGATTTCCAAGTACAGACTTATACTAATACTAGCTAAGAGAACGATCTGCTATGTATTCAAACGAACAACTTATATCTGCATGAACTAAACGCATTTATCAATTATGCATCATTGGAATGTTGCTGTCGACCGCATGTTGTCGGTTGTGCCATTGCAAGAGCTTGCTGTGCCATTGCAAGTTGCAGCTCATGATTGAGCTAGATCCAAATGATGTACTATGCAGACACGGCCCTGACACGTTGCATTACCGTTGTCAATCGAGCTGCCATCGCACTGATTGAAACGGTTTGTGTCTCGCGTGTGAGTCAGTGGCTCAAAATGTTTCACAAGGACGCAGACAATCACCGTCAAGAGCACACTGCCAGAGCCGCAAGCCCGCTTACCTTTCTGCAAAAGCGAGTCACATAATTCCCATGCCCGTCATTACCTCTGCCCAGACCGATGACCTTGGTAGCCCGTACTTACAGTTACCTATGCCTTCTGCATCTCAAGGCTAAAGCATCACAAACATTTCAGCAAGAAACTGTGCCCCTGACTTGGAGCTGTCCTCCTTTTCAAGCCGCGGTTTGCCCAATATTCACACCCTTTTGAGTGGTCCTACGCGGCGCTCGACCAGAGGGCCAGATCGACCGAGTGTGAGCTCAGTCGCAATCGGAGTGCAAAGAATTCTGTAAGGGAACGGGGGAACTTTACGTACGGACGACCGTAGTTGAGCTCTCGACATATTTGTCCCTGCAGAGTCGAGCGAAATGGAGGTGCTCAGTTGCGAGGAAGACCGGTAAAGGAAAGAGTTGTTCCTTTGCTGATTGGAGAAAAAACGTCTTTTGTGGGGCAGCATTCGACCTTGATCCAAGCAACTCGGGCATTATCTCCACTATGTACTGATTTATCTTGTATACGGTTGATACAGGTAGAAAACCGTTGATTAAGAAGAAACGACCAGGAAGGAAACTACTTTCAAAGATAAGTTCGAAACGAGGCACTCATGACTACCACCTCGCCAATGTGCCGTCGTCGCTCGTGCCGCCAATATCGAAGCAGAACGGGAATCCCGACCAATTGCTGAATCTTTCAGGGCGCTGACGCAATCAGGGCCCGCACCACCAGCATGTGAGTGTTTCAACCGCCGCCCGACTTCTCGATCCTCCCGCGCTACCTCTTTCTTCCTTGGTGTTTATCGACTCGGTCAATGACCGCACGACAACAGTCAGCAAAAACACGATTGATTTCCTGGATCTCGCTCCTTAATTCAGCGTCCTCGTCACTGCCTTTTGAAGTAAGTCCACAAACTCCATGACGTCCGTGTTGCCATCCCCTGTGGCGCCGAAAGCCGCCCTCATGCATTCAAAGACGAAGTGAGGGGAATGCGACATACTTCCGCTCTAAGTATCTCTTTACTAACATCTCCGTACTCACTTGATGTCCACCAGCTTGATGACCGCCGCGTTCCCGATCCTGTGCAGCGCCACGATGCAGTCGCCCTTCTTGCACATGTTCTTCGCCTTGGCGTAGCTCAGCGCCGCGTTCAAGATGTCGTCCGTCGTGTCGGAATCCGTTGCACGGGCGGAACCCTCCGCGAGCAGCGGAATGAGCCCCCGGCAGACGAGGGCCTGCCGTGCGGGGCTCTCCTCGCTGATGTTCCAGGTTAGGTTATCCGTGGTTAGCACCGGGATAACCACGCTGAGGACGGGAACGGCGGGGCGGTACTTGGCAACGAGCTTGGCGGTGGAGCCGCCCCGGGTGAGGACCACGATTAGGCTGGCGTTGACCTGGAAGCCAAAACGGGGGAAAAGGCAAAGAGTTTGAGAGAATGACCGAAGACGGTGCAGTGAAACTGCTTTCTTCAACATCAAGAGGTTGTGATAAGCTACGCAGTGGCTCACCAGACTGAGTTACAACCGTTGTCATATGGATCAGACAGACAAGTCGACATTACGGTGTCCGATGTGCAGCTCGTTCTTCGGAGCTGCGGAAATGCATCACGTCGGCTGAGAAAGTGGATTTGAAGACATGGCGTTCTGCCAGCGGCAGCAGCCAAGGTCTTCAGAGTCGTGTCAACAACGATGTGGCTCCACAACAAATCTTACGATCTCCTGGTGATCAGAGGAAGCTCCTCAGAACTGCGTTCTTCGCAACAGCATCTCTGCCTGACCTCCTAACGTTTACCGACGACTCGGGTCATGCGCTTTTCTCCCTCACCTTGTGCGCTGTCCGCACGGCTGAGGACGCCAGGCTCTCTAGGGGGCTCATGGGCAGGGGCGTTTGCTTCATGATGGTCTTGAAGAGCGCAAAGTAGTCCAGGCTCGCCTCCGCCTCGCGGCAGATCCGCGACATCACCTGCGCCCACCGTTTCACAGACTCCGTCAGCGACGTGCAAAAGGCAACGGGACGAACAGGAGTGACAGGAGGGACGAGAAATCCGCAGAAAACGCCACGTGTCGCCGTTTTGCCTATGGCTCGAGATGCATTTTCGCAGAGTCTGCGAGATTATTGCCGCAACAAAGGTGAATGAAGAAACGCCATTGTCGGCATTTGTTTTCTCTATTGCTCGAGATGCATTGCCGCAGAGTCTGCGCGAAGATTGCCGTGACAAAGATGGTCGGAAAAGCGAAGCCGGATTCGATCCAACATCAACTGACACATGAGCAACTTCGCATTATCGTGCGCCCACCTGCACCGCCTCCTCGGGCCACGACCCGGCCGCCGTCTCTCCGCTGAGCATGACGCAGTCGGTCCCGTCGAGGACCGCGTTCGCGACGTCGGTCGCCTCAGCACGGGTGGGACGGGGTGACTTAATCATAGACTCGAGCATCTGCAAGGGGTTTCGCCAAAGGGGTAAGCGAAAGGCTCGTGACGAGAGGGTCAACGGCTTGTGACGTCAGAATTGAACGTTTAGTTGGTTAAAAAACTAGGCAGGCTGGGCCGTCGCTTGGATCCATTGGCCAAGTTCTTCAGTGGTAGCCGACTAGGGGCTTCCCAATCAAGCTGACCATCCGATTCCCGTGTTGCATTCCAAACACAAATAGAGAGACAAAGCTTGCAATCGTAGCTTCCAACTGGTCCTTCCAACGCGCATGGAGTACAGAGACTTCACAGCAGCCCTCTCCCAAGGATCGCTTTATGATTGCTGAACAGAGAAGCAAGTGACCCTGCAGTTCCGCAGATACATCTCCAAGAAGAACGTTCTTGGACTGAGCGTTAGCCAGAAAGAGGACCGCCTCTTTTGTCGCACAGATGTTCCATCTATGTAATCCAAAGTCAGACTCATTTGCAAATCGGAACGAATCAAGAGTTGCCAACAGCTGTCGCCCAAACTCTACCAAGCTCTGTGCTGACCTGCGTGGCAGTGACGACAGGCTTGCCGGCCGTGTTGCACTTGTGGATCATCATCTTCTGCGCAAGGAAGATCTTCTCGGTGGGGATCTCCATGCCCAGGTCACCACGCGCCACCATGATCCCGTCCGTCTCACGCAGCACCTCGTCGAAGTTGACCAGGCCCTCCTGGTTCTCGATCTGGGAAAGTTACCGGGGGAAAGCAGTGTGAGGGCTTTGAGGACGTTCAGAACCAACGCCTCCTGCTTTTAAGAACGTTCAGAAACAAGGCCTTCTAGTTCTTGTAATCGGGAAAGAAGCAGAGCGAGTGGTTTGACAACAGTATGAACCACGCCGACCCGGATGTCAGCCGGGTTGGATTGGTAGGTAGGAGGAGGAGTCGAACTTTCGATGTGTCAGCAGGAAGAGGTTTTCCTAACCTCTTCGTGAAGATGAAGTAGGGTGAAACGAGAAGAAAGTTCTAAGAAAGACAATGAAGAGGCCCTCTGGACACCATTGCAAGCAAGGCCCTCTTTGGACCTCGAATTCGGATGCGGAAAGCTGAGTGCTTCAAGGAAAATCCCACAAAGAGTTGGCAGCATCTCAACCTACTCATACAACCTTCAATAATGACAGTGAAAGTCCCACCTTGGAGATGATCTGAATGCTTTTTGCGTGCGTCCCCAGCAGCTTCCTGATGTTGATAAGGTCCAGGCCCTTGCGCACAAAACTGGCGGCGATGAAGTCAATCTGGTTGGGGACGCCCCAGTTCATAATGTCGTCCTCATCCTGGAAAACAGGAACAGAGTCCACTCACGCCAGTGGGTTGCAGATGCTGGTCACTCTTGTGACACGAAAGTGGACCGCTCAATTGTGATGTCCAATGGCCATAAGCCTCGTCAGAAAGAGCGTTCTTGCCGGCGTCAGGAGGGGAACGGAATTTGACACCGAAAGTGAGCGTGCCCTTATGCCGCAGCTTGTGTAGAACCGTCCAACAATTGCAGTCGGCTACAATCATACACCACCTGTTGTTTTGTTATTACTCATATGAGTAGCTAAGGGTCCTCAAATGTTGCCTGGCAGCTGACTGCAGAATCGAGGAGGCCGGTGCAACACCACAGCAGCGACTTGCTCAACCAACATAATTGCCGCCGCTCATGCATAAGGGGCCCGTATCGTCCACATTACATCAAATTGTTTTGCGCATTGCCAGCCTTCACCCGCTGGAATCGCACAAAGAGCCACCACCTGCAGACTGCGTCGCATCAGCGAACCTCGAGGGTCGTTTCTGCCTGCAACACACCTTGGGCGTCACAGTCGGCAGGTCCACAATGACCCCGGGGAGATTCACGTTCTTCCGCTCCCCCAGCATCGCCGTGTTCTCGCACCGCGCCACCACGGTGCCTTTGTCGGGGTTGCAGGACACGACGGTGAGAGTGATGCTTCCATCGGCACAAAGAATGGTCTGCACAAGACCACAGAATTGTTTTTCAGCAGCGGCGAAGGGCCCTCATGCTGGCAAGCCAGTGGGTAGCATTTGGTAGTCACTTGGCAAGCAATTGTGCCAATCTTTGAAATTCTGCTGAGCGGGTTTGTGATCCAGTAAAATACATACTTTATCGGCGTTTTTGCTGTACACAGCGGCTCCAACATGAAAGTATCGGGGCCCGTGCGCATCTTGAGGCTGTCCAGGCGGGACTTGTATGTGTAAGTGCTTCTTCATTTGATTCCACCGTACGGCTGCGCAATGACTGATCTCTAGCCCTGACCTGGTTAACTGATACTAAGGCCCAAATCACTAGCAAGCGCAACGTGAGCGCACCAGCAGACCTGTCTCTTGTGTGTGTTTTGAAACGATCAAAAGATGGCGCACTAGCTTGTCGCAGTTGGAGGGGCCATCAGACTGAACTTCTCCTTCCCAGCTGTTTGGTAGATCCTTATTCATGAAAGGACAACGAAAATTCCACAAAAGCAATGCTGGCGCTCTTACCTGGCCCGGCCGCATATCCTCCGGCAGCTTTTTGTAGCTCATGGCGATTGTCGTCTCATCGCCCTGAATGGTATAGTCTGTGGAGATGGTGACCTCCTTGCCTTTCTCCAGCTTCACCGGCTTGCCACCTTTGAGCATCCCCGTCCGGATCTCGGGGCCCTGTTTGAAAAGACAAGATCTGGCCTCACTTGCTGATTTGACTGCTGACAACATCTTGCCAAGCAAGATTCCTCACAAATGTAACTGGACACAATGATTGTCACACAAAGATGCAAGCTTAAGCGATATGATATCAGCCACTCTGAATTTAGTAGAGCGCTGTTGCCACGGCATTGCGGGAGCAGCAGTCTTGCAACTACCATCTTTCATCAGCGGCGCTTACCGATGCTAAGCAGCATTCATCCATTACCCTTGGCACTAGCCGTAGACTCCCCAACTCAAGCCCTAAGCTTCTTGACTACAATATCTTTCCACTTACGGAACTCTGCGCTGCTCTGCATTGCCCAATCCTAGCATCTTGACAATGAGGAGTTTCGATATGCACCGCTGCGTCCGTATATGTTTCGATGTTCAATGCTGCTGCCAACGTGCTCTTAGCTACTCATCTGTTTGAGGACAAAGATTGCTCTTTGGATAGAGCACTAGAGCCTCTGAAGACTCCAAAAGATTGCATTTTGAAGTGCAAGCGAGGCCTGACCTTTGTATCGAGCAGCACGGCACACATGATCTGCGTGTTGGCCATTGCTTGCCGCAGTTTATCAAGGGTCTCCTGGTGGTACTCGTGGCTCCCGTGTGAAAAGTTGAAACGTGCCACATTCATGCCGGCCTGGAAAAGGGGGGCCATCAATGATCAGCACCTTGAAAGCAGTATAGAATGTGGAAGGATGAATCATGGTCCTTCTAAGAGTGAGCTCACACTCGACTCTCTGCTTCCATTGGCTTACGAGCAAGATCAGTGTCTCATCACTTCACTGAACAGGTTTTGATGACCTACCTTTAAGTAGATCCAAATAACAAATGCTCATCAAACTCACAGATCTCTAGACCTCCAGCATAAGCCAACAGAACAGGGGCAGAGCAAAAGCGAGTGGGATCTGGTGCCATTGGATCTACCCCTGCAGACCGGTTTGCACACTTAGATCTACAGCGAGTCATTCTTCTGACCCCGAACCCACACCATATGCCAGCAGATTGGCCTTACGTGCAGAAGTTTCTCCAACATTGGCACCTCCCGAGACTTGGGCCCCAAGGTACAAATGATCTTTGTTTTCGAGAACGAATGCGGGACCCCATTGATGATCTTATCTATGTCAAGGTTTGCCATCCTGCGTGACGTAAATGCGACTGGCCCACAGCTGATATGAAAGCTTGAATGGACGGTATGGCAGCTCCAAATGAGAAGCAGACGAGCAGATTGGACCTGCTGCGAGTGCGAGTCAGACTCTGAACGACTCCGGGTGGCGCTGCACTTTCTCCCAGACTCTGAACTAAAGCCTCCTTGAACTTCTCAAGGCTAAGGACTAGGACTACTAACCGAGTGTGTATGTTACAAGAGCGTAATGTGAAGAGCGTTACCGCGCGGCGAGCGTTACCGCGCGGCGAGCGTTATCGCGTGTGCGTGGTGTGTCGAGTGTGTTATGCAATCGCCGGCGCAGACTAGACCAGGGTCGGGTTCACATTGGGCTTCTGGCCATAATTCGGTCTGCCTTGATTCACAATTGGAAGTACCCATGCTGACGTTTCAGCAGTTTCGGATTACGATGTTCAAAGTGGGTTCACATTGCAGATTGGTCCGTATCGTGATTCAAAACTCTCGACCGCAACCACGTGATCGGCCATTGTGAACCAAGATGAGTACACTTGGTACACAATATCGTCAGCAAAGGCGGAGGCGTGACGATATCAAACCTGTACTTATCGTGATTGGGCTATCCAAACGCGGTCGTCGACCGCGTTTCGATAGCCTCCCCGATTTGGGTAGGTTGAGGTCCAAACTTCGACTTCGATAAGTTTGGTTGTTCGAAGAATTGACCGTTAGCCCGCCGACTCTGGCGGGCTGACGCCGAGTGACGCAAGTCTACCTACGAATCACGATAAGAGTTTTGAGAAAGTCCAATGTGAACCCGACCCAGCTCCAAAACTGGGTTAACTGGTGATGACGTAAGCTTGTGATGACGTCAGCAGTCGGCTACAGGCTGCCACCGGTGTACCGGTGATCAGTCTCCGGGTGCATGGGACGAGCCTTGGATACTCGCCGCTCGGAACTCTCGGAGCGTTCAAGAATCAGTGTAGTGAATCGCGTGTAGGTTGCGAGCCCGTTGCGAGTTGATATAATATTGAATAACTTAGAGGGTGCGTGGAGGGTGCAATTCGATTGCTGACTGAATGTGTCTCTAATCATTTAATCAATCACGGTTGCCTTTAGGAAGAATTGAAAAAGGATTGAAAAATTGCATTGTGGAGCTGGCAAGCATGCATTGAACAAGCGGCGTAGGGAGAGCGGTCACGTTGCCACAATGCTTGTGCCTCGCTTGGGCTAGCTTCACAGCCAGTGTGATAAAACATGGCGGCACGTGATGTATATTTCAAAAACGAAGCTTGTG